AAAATAAACTTGTGAAATCTGAAGTTAACGCCCGTTTACTACTGACTAAACGGACACAGAGTAAATGTGCGTTTACTCGGGTACACATTAGAAATTTCCATTTTGACCGCGTTAACGTAATTATAGTAAACGCGAAAATTGAAGTTAACTAACGAAATATGTGCACGCGTGGTTAACGTGCGTTTACTTTATGCAATGCTTGGTCTGCACCCAACTGTACCTGTGAACACTAACGAACAAAAAGAGGTTTGGGTTATTAGAAAACCAATACGGGTTATTCGTAAATGAAAATGAATTTTAAACAATCTCGCATTCTTGCAAACATAATATGAATGGATATAAGAAGATGTGGTATAAGTGCCAATGAGACAACTCTCCATCCAAGTCAAAATTATAAAAGTAAAACATTATAGGCCACAGTACGGTCTTCAACACGGAGCCTTGGCTCACACCGAACAGTAAGCTATAAAGGGCCCCACAAAATTACTAGTGTTAAGATAAAAAGGATTTCTCTGACCACTTCTATTTTCTCTATAAATGCTCCACAATCTACCGCATGTTTTTGTACCATTCTAAACTTGCAGATAGTGAACTTGTCTATGTCGACAACAGCATTGATAAAGTTTTCAAAGGAACGATAGACAAAAATACCGATCTCCGAGGTAATTAAAAACAAGTGCATTGAACCTGACAAAATCAAACTCTTGACAATATCAACCAAATAAATAAATGACAAGCAAATGTATTATGCTGATTATGTACAGGTATCTTCCGAACATAAAATACTACTTTAAAAAACGTTTTATTTCTATATGAACCACCCAATTGTATGCAGTTGTTAAAGGGCTGTGTATCCTGTTTATAAATTCTATAATTCAGTATTTTAGTACAGTTATTTATATATGTTTTTAATAATCCAGATTTGCATGAACTTGTTCTGCAATGTAGTTTTTACTGTTGTATTCAGACATTTTTTTTCTTAACTAGTCTTTAGTACGATATGACAGATCGTTTAAAATGTATTTTCGTTTTCGTGTATACAGACACGAAGAGGGGAAAAGTTTTGACTCAGCTTTTTGCAACATTAATTTCTACATAACAAATACAATTTAGTTTCAGTGCTCTTACTATTTTAAGCCAAATATGGCACTTTTATAAGAATTACATATATGTTCAAAAGATTTCGTTGTAGCTTACCACTTATAATCATGTTTTGGATTGACAGTTTAACATCCAGGATGATTTTAATTTTTTGTATAGTGGGTCGTTATTCCCTAATCCCAATTTGTCGTAATCGTAAAATAAAAAAGGGTAAATCATATAATAAAAAGTCGATCTACATCCACTTCATTTGAACTTTGGTGGATAGTTGTCTTACTGCCAATCATACCATTTCTTTATTATCTTTATATTTTTACACATGTGTAGAATACTTTCTGTTTCTTATACGGCTCGAATTAAAGTAACGAGTGCTAAAAAACCCGTTTTTGCAAAAATACTGGACTCCAAAGTAAATAAAAAAGGACCAATTTTTACTTTATCAACCAACAGAACTGATAGAAAAAACTTCTAAAAATGGTGAGTTGAACCTGATCGTATAGCTAGCTAAACCTCCCACTTGTATAATAGTTGTTTATTTCCGTTACATTGACCAAAGTGTGTGAACAACCCAAACAGATATAATATGTTAATATGGAAATAATGGAATTTAGGAGCAAAACATGTGTTATCATACATCACAAACATACAACACATCTTACTAAACAAATCAGGTAAACATACAAATGAATCTAGCAGAAACACAGACAAAAGCTTTATTGTGATTAATAGTAAATTTGACAAAGACGCCAATAAAAACAAAATAGCGAAAAAAGTGAACATAAAATCAGTCATTGGTTTTCTTAAATCAAAGAACTTTCTACCAATATTTAATAAAGAATTTTTTTAGTATGCTCATTAATTTTACACCGGGCTATCTGACAATATAGTTATAAGGCGATTATGTTTCGGTTGATATTTATTCTGAGCTTAAAAAAAATGGCTTCATACACCCAAAGAACTACGATACTTGAAATTTCCGAAATTCAAATATTCAGTAAAAATTGATACTTAATGCACTTGATTATTTCTTCTTCGTTTGTTGTCTTTTATTTACATTATCAAGCAAAATAGCACTTACAGGAGATAAGGTGTATATAATCATCTGAAGCTCAAGCTGTAGATTTTAGAAAAATAGAATAAATAAAGACAACAGTAGTATACCGGTGTTCAAAAGTCATAAATCGATAGAGGGAAAAAAAATCCTGGTTACAAATTAAAACAGAAGGAAACACATCAACTATAAGAGGAAAACAAAGGAACAACAGGAACACTGAAGTGCAACAAAAACAAACGCCAACATACATAGAAACGAACTATTTGATAACAACTGCCATATTCCTGATTTGGTACAGGACATTTCAAGAAAAAAATGGAGGGTTGAACCTGGTTTAATGGCTAGCCAAACCATTATTTATTTTTTCATTATCTGCTTTGTTGATTCTCATGATGTTTTAATAGAACACTTAAATTGACTGTTTTCGTCTCAAACTTTTTTGAATCAACGTCAATGCAAACAGTTGAAATTTCACCAGTAATACAGTCAATATCATTTTGGGTAACACATTCGAAAATACCAGAGGGACATTCAAACTCATAGATCGAAAATAAACTGACAACGCCATGGCTAATAAATTAAAAAAAACAACAAAAAAAACAAACAATAGTACACAAGACACAACATAGAAAACTAAAGGTTAAGCAAAACGAACCCCACCAACAACTAGGGGTGATCTCAGGTGCTCCGGAAGGGTGAGCAGATCCTGCTTAACATGTGGTTAAATATAGTCACTATAACTGTTGTCTTAGTCTATACATAGTCGTTATAACTGTTACCGTTGTCTATATATAGTCGTTATTATTGTTGCCTTAGTCTATATATAGTCGTTTAAACTGTTGTTTAAGTCTATATATAGTCGTTATAACCGTTTTATAATTCCTATTTATGGCAGTTTACTTCTGAAATTTAGGAAATTTTTTATCGATTAAATAATGATAAAAGAAAAGTGATCACGCATACCAAGGTTTATTTTGCATTTCAAATAAGTTTTTTTAAATGTAAAAGTTATCTGGAAAACCACCACATTTTCAGAAAACCGTGTTGAAAGTTAGGTTCAGTTACATAACTTATCGACAATTTAAATGACAGGTACAATTATAGCGTGTTCATGAAGAATGAAGAATATTCATACACGCCTCCTTTAGTGTCAAGGTCATTGTGGTTCTCGGTATCAATCTAGCCATTTAATCTATTTCCATTTTTATACCAGTTAAATACATAATAGCAATACAGCTTTTGAATTTTAGTCTGAATTAATAAGTGTTGTATCATATAACTGTAGTAATATAAAATCCAGTCCAAGGATAATTAAATTTGAAACTTCAGCGTTTTTAAAACTACATTGCATATTTTGAAAAAAGTTATACTCCCCTGTTTTTATTCTTTTTTAGGAAATATATATTTGTGTTGAATTTCTTAATTGCATGTTATTGGATTTAAATATAACCGTTGTTTGGAAATGATTAAGATATATTACAGAAAAAAAGATGAGAAATACAATTACGAAAATTTGAATGTCAAAATGCAAAAAAAAAGTATGAAGAAGAAAAGTATATAAAGAAAATTTATAATTAAAAGAACAAATACATCAAGATGTGCCCAGTAAAGAACAAATACATTAAGATGTGAACAGTAAAGAACAAATACATCAAGATGTGAACAGTAAAGAACAAATACATCAAGATGTGAACAGTAAAGAACAAATACATTAAGGTGTGCCCAGTAAAGAACAAATACATCAAGATGTGCCCAGTAAAGAACAAATACCTCAAGATGTGAACAGTAAAGAACAAATACATCAAAATGTGAACAGTAAAGAACAAATACATTAAGATGTGCCCAGTAAAGAACAAATACATCAAGATGTGCCCAGTAAAGAACAAATACATCAAGATGTGAACAGTTAAGAACAAATACATCAAGATGTGAACAGTAAAGAACAAATACATCAAGATGTGAACAGTAAAGAACAAATACATCAAGATGTGTCCAGTAAAGAACAAATATATCAATATGTGTCCAGTAAAGAACAAATACATCAAGATGTGAACAGTAAAGAACAAATACATCAAGATGTGAACAGTAAAGAACAAATACATCAAGATGTGAACAGTAAAGAACAAATACATCAAGATGTGAACAGTAAAGAACAAATACATTAAGATGTGCCTAGTAAATGTCAGATTTATAATTGTCAACCCTGTAAACAGACCTTATCATTTAAAGGTTCTATCAATCGACATAAAGTTCTGTTTTGACGCGTTTTTCATAAAGTAATAAGATCTATAAACGTCAAAGCATTACAATGGTTTGCTCCAATACAATAAGTATAATTGAGAAATGCAGTATATTGTGTTAGTTATATTTAGTAATTGGTCGGGAAAAAATCAATATCTCTTATTTCAAATGCTGTCCCAATAGTATATTTGATGTCTTGCAAATACAATCAATCGTGTTTTCACCTTTTATCATAAACCCAGTATTAGAATAATTACTACACATTAGAAAAGAGAGCAACATTTCGACATCAGTGAAAGCTATGATTCTACCAAAGCAGATATTTATAGAGCCCGTCCAAAATGCTTTCGTTACAGTTCGATAGTTTTTGAAAGAGTGAGAAAACAATGGCAAAATGTTTATTTTTTAGAGAAGTTTCTGATTTTCTAATTTTACTCTACAGTATTTGATTTCCCGTGCATGACCCTTGCAAACGTTCATATATTTTTCTATAGGTCGTAATTGTATTATGTTAACTTGTCATTACTTTTACGATATTATCTGAAATCAATATAGTAATTAGAACAACTATCTTGAGTAGATATTACAATACTATATTACAAACCTTAGTTTATGGACACTAAAATCCGACGACCTTTTTACACCATAATGGAATCATACAAACTACACATCAACAGATCAATTAGTGGAGGTGTATTTCCAATGTCAAGACTTGCATCCAATCAAACGAAATTTAAAGTTCCAATTATCGATAATGTTGCATGGCGACATAATAAAAATTAAAGTGTAAACATTACATGGAAATCTGAATATAAATAGAAATTATTTTTATCATATTCAAAAATATTTATAGATGTAGAAATAAATGAATGAAAATGGCTGTGAACGCTATTTCTTTTCTTTATCGTTTGCAAAATTAAAACAATTATATACATAGTAGTTTTGTTTGTGTAATGGGTTAAGTGTTCAAGCAATCTGTCTTTTTCTTGTACAACTCAACATCACTGTAGACTCTTGAACGATGATTAATAGAAATCTACCCCTTTTTATGACTGACAAAAATCAGACATTGTGGTAACCACAAATTTAATAGCAATGCTCGGAGGATGCATGGGACATATAGTGTTCACTTTGTCAGACTGGTTGTGTATCTGTAAACAATATTTTATAAACGCAAACATTTCAAACGTTATCGATATGCGCAGAACATGTATTCAAACTGGACACTTCATTTTGGTCAGAGCAATTTGGGAAACGGCTGTGGTAACTGCAAAATCTCTATTATAATAGTAGAACATGAACACAGTCTTATGAAATATAAACTTGTGATGACATATGTAGATGTGCATAAATAAACTCACCTTAGATAATAGGATTGAAATATTGTATTTTGGCCAGACGCGCGTTTCGACAAAAGACTCATCAGTGACGCTCGAATCAAAACAAATTAAAAAGGCAAAATAAAGTATGAAGTTGAAGAGCATTAAGGACCAAAAAGTCCTAAAAGTTTTTCCAAATACAGTTATGGTAGTCTATGCCTGAGGTAGTGCATTTTATTTATTTGGCTCAGGGAAGTACACTTAAAGTTCCCTAACACAGATGGACAATAGATAATTTTCTTTGATGAGTTATAGTTCCTGCTTTGTAAAAAGTGAAATATCAAAAATACCGAACTCCATGGAAAATTCAAAACGGAAAGTCCGCAATCAAATGGCAAAATCAAAAACTTAAACACATCAAACGAATGGATAACAACTGTCATATCATATTTTATATGTCTTCCTATGTGACGTTTACATTTGGACGTCAAACACGCGTCTCTACACTAGAGTTGATGTGAACCTTGCCATTCAGTCACAGGACTTCAAATATTTCAATCCTTTATGGGTCGATTTAAAATACATATATAAGTAAGCAATGCATGTGGTTGTTAAATTTGATAGATGCTTTTTTGTGTTTCTTTGATAAACATTTGTTTGTTTTTGTTCTAACTGAAATTGTGACACGGTGATGACTGCTGTACCCCTATTTTGACAATTTTACCTATTATGTATGTTTTGTTCACGCAACTTTGTAAATATAACGGAATTTGATGCGACTGTCATACAAGTGAGAGGTTTAGCGCTATAAAACCAGGTTCAATCCACCATTTTCTACATTTGAAAATGCCTGTTCCAAGTCAGGAATATGACAATTGTTGTCCATTCGTTTGATGTGTTTTATCATTAGATTTTGTCATTTGATTAGGGACTTTCCGTTTTGAATTTTCCTTGGAGTTCAGTATTTTTGTGATTTTACTTTTTCCTGACATTGTGCAGGTATTTTCTTATGTAGAAAAATGGTGTATTAAACCTGGTTTTATAGCTAGCTTAACCTCTGACTTATATGACAGTCACATTAAAATTTTATTATATTGACAAAGATGTGTGAACAAAAAAAACCAGACATAATAGGTAAAAATGCCAAAAATTTGGGTACATCAGTCAACATTGTGTTATAATCTTTATCACTAAAAAAATTTAACAAATATGTAACAAAGAAACAAAAAAAGGCATATAGACAAAACCCATTGGCAAACATGAAAGACAAGAATACAAAACATTACCATAGCACAATAACACAAAATGCATAAATGATTTGCAAATGGCTCATAGCAAAGCTGAATATTTGAAATAATACCGGATAGTCATATTCTTTAATTCTTACATTTCGAATCACAAAGCATAGCACCTTAATATGCTTGTTAAACACCCCTTTAAAAGATGCGTCTGTACTTTCGTGATTTATTTCTTACTTGATTTTAAACGACAATGTATAATCTTTTTAAAATCACAAAAGTTCAGTTTCAAATATGCTGAAATGATCACAATCATTTAAAGAAATCAATTTGTAAGCGAAAGCAGACACTACTTTCTTGTCAAATCAATTCGTGAATACAAAGCCACGGATTTCCGGAAATCATTAGTATTTTACATTCATGGTTTAGTTGTGAATTGATCACTTGCTTTAGTTTTTACTTTTCTATAGACTATTCCGGATTCATCAAACTGCTGAATCAATCTGATCGTTCAGGCATGGTAAACTCAAATCGACAATTTTTAATCGACCTTAAAAGCTATAATCAATTATATTCAAATATCGTAGTATCGTTTTCTTTCTCCATGCTAAAGTTAGCAATAGTAATTTGCTAGCATGGGGATTTGCTGTCAACAGAATGAAAACTAAGGAACGCAATGAGAGTCATAATCGTCTATAGTTTAAACATATAACTTATGACGATGAGTTTATCAAATATATTGAAAGGATCAAATGAACGCAGTTGATGTTAACAAAGTTTATTTTTTCGTATCACTGCCTTTTCTTTTATATGGTATGGTCAGTCTGTTTTCAACATATAAGTTTGAATATCCCATTGGTATCTTTCGCTTCTCTTAAAGCAGGTATTTTGATGATATTTATCGTATAATGGAAACAAATGAACTATCTTGTGGAGAGTTGTCTCATTGGCAATCATACAAAATATTGTTATTTTTATATATACAAAACGAGCTTATAATTACTACATACCGGCTAATTAATTTTCTAACTTTATGCTTTAACTCCACCCTAATGTATGTTTTCATTGGTAAGCGACAGACAGTATGTTTTAAACAAGGAAAATGAAAAAAAAGAGATGAAAATATAAGTCAGTTTTTCTTCACTGCAAACAATTGTTCATCAAAATTCCACCAAAGAAGGAAGGACATTTCATTTATAAGATATTCACAGGAAAGGCCATTATCCCTAACCCTAACCCTTACCCTAAGTCAATAAAGTAAAATAGTGTTTTGTTGATCAAGAACTACGTTTAAAGCCAAAAATAAAGCATCAAAATCAAGGATTAACCAGAAAGCTAGAAAAAAAACCCACTAAACTTCAACCAAGTAACCCATCATCATTTTTTTAGTTCAACAACTAAAATCACACACTACAACATCTAGGTCCTAAGGGGTTGACAAAAACCGGGCTAGTCATTTCTAATGATTCCTTTTATGTCCTTAAAGCATTCAACGTCTTACTATATTTGGCTTTTAATCTTTCTTGATTCTTGCGTCACGGATGAGTATTATTTAGACTAAAAGCGCGTCTAGCGCAAAATTGCTCTTTTTTATCCTGGCATTTAGGATGGGTTTATTTACAGGAAGATGATCCTAATGATAATGACACGTGGTGTTGTGTTTAAACAATTGGCAACCAAAGGAGTTACAGGAATGCATCTATATCATTATTACACCATTTGCCTATTATGATGTTAAGGAATTGACTCATCATAACTATTGCTGGGGTGTCTTTCGTCGGTCCGATATACTTTACTGTCGGTGTCATGTGTTATCTCGCTAGCAAAGTAGGATTGATGATAGTAATAAAAATTTGTTTATTGTTTTATCGTTTCAATTTCTTTTACACGACATACATTCAGTATTGAAAGTTTTTTTAATAAGGTTGAAACAGTTAGAATTTTTAAAAATATTATCTTGTGCAAAAGTTACCATTAAACTAATCATAGATACCAGGATTGAATTTTTATATTTGCGCCAGACGCGGTCTTCGTCTACAAAAGACTCATCAGTGACGCTCGAATAAAAAATGTTAAAAAGGCCAAATAAAATACGAAGTTGAAGAACATTGAGGACAAAAAATTCCTAAAAGTTTTGCCAAATATAACTAAGGTAATCTATTCCTGAGGTAGACTGAATTGCATCTATAAGTATATTGTTTTACTTATTTATGAAAAGTAAAAAATATATTCATTTATCAAGTGATCATATTTATTTTCTTGCTTTTGTTGAAGCTTTGCAGTTGGAAAAAAATAATATCAGTCCGTTTTATCTGACCCAATGTAATAAGTTACAATGAACTGAACATTTTTACAATAAACCTATATTGCATATGCTCACAACTGGGTTTTTACGATACGTACTTACTTGCATTACTTTCCACGAAAAAGGTTATTTATAGTGTACTTGACACCCATTGCCGATTTGTAGCTGTGTCTGTATATTTAGGTCACCGGAAAGTGTACTTCACGCCCAACTCATAGCTATTGGAAAACATTTTCATACCTCAACCTTAATCTAATAGTACTTTTTTTTTGCTTCTCATATTCTTAAAAGGTCATGTTACTTATAAAGCAACGCAGACCTGGAATTATATAAAATATCTAAGAACTTTTAACTATTAACATTTATTTTGTTTGGTTGCATTGGGAATAATTCCACATCTCTTAATTGTTTTATATGTTTCCAAATTGCCGGATGTTTGCATATTTTATTTTTGTTTGTTTCAGCAACTTCAATGCAATATCGGGACATGTCCGGTCACTATTTATGTGTTGTGTCTTAATGTGAATTGTACTCTTTATAGCGGTTGTACAGTCTGACAAAATATTCTCAATAAAAAGACAAATAAGCCACACATAAACAGCACCAGATCATTTGATATTACAGCTTATTAATGAAAACTCAGATTGAGATAGTTACGTAAACTATTATATCAAAAAGGCGGACATCGTTTTTAAAATATTGACATTGTCGGCATTGATGTTATTACAATAATTACTGACTGTGCTTAGTAAAAGATGTTCCAAAGCAATTACACTATTTTGACAAGCCCCCGTTTGATTAAAGTTACTGAATTATATAAAAAAACATAATTTTCAAAACAATACTGCATGTGAAAAAAACCCCAATAAAACGCCAAAAAACCGAGCAATTTGTGCGGAGATCCTTCATATTTTTTTGTATATTTTAAATTAAACAGAGCAAGTTATATACAAGGTAAAATATTTCATTTTGAACACGTTAATTTTACGTAGTGATGAGGTAGTAATAGTCTTTTTTGTATACAATAAATTAAAATACAAAGAAACAAATTAAATTTATTAAGATATATGTTATAAGAATATAATTGTTTGCCTATAAACAAAGTCATTAAATTAATATACAAAGAAACAACATAAAAAAATACTTTGAAACATTCAGACACATTGATAAATAATAGGACGGAAGATAACATGATTAAATTCACAAACAATAAATACTTCAAGTGGCATTAGCTGTCAAATCCATGTTCACCAATTAGACTCAACATCTAATATTTTATTTATGACATACTAAAACGTTTATCTGAATTACAAAAATTTGAAAGAAATATTTTACAAAGCATAGACTCGCGATCTAATTAATAATTGAGATGATCGCACACAAATTCTATAAATCATTTAACCTGATGTAAACATAAATACAGAAAAAAATAGATAAAATTCACAGGCAACCACGTCTATTTGATGGTGACGTCACGTCACAAATTAGAACAAAATGTAAATCATCGGTTTGACATGTATTTGAATGTTTTGTGTGTGTGCATAATCAGTCAATAAATGGGGTCTTCTCGGTGGATGCCTCATTTGTTTAAAGTTCACACGAAAACGAAAATTGTAATGATATAATAGTAGCATTTAATCAGATATACGAAAAATGGTAGGATTATAGTTTTTTTTAACAATTACAAAGAAATCAAAATGAAAAGTAAGCACATTTAATTGCAGGTGATTTATTTATCAATCCCATGCAAAAAACTCACAAAATAAGATAAAACAAATTAAAATTTCTATTACATTTTATCTCGATATCCATTGATAAAAAGTATAAAAAAGATTGTCGTTGTGCAGCATTTTAAAATATTCTATAAATATGAAGCCTATACTTTATGGTACTATCAAACACAATTAGATTAAAAATATTTCTATAAATCTGAAGCCTATACTTTTAGGTACGATTACACACAATTAGATTAAACATATTTCTGTACAATCTAAAGCATATACTTTTAGATACTATCACACACAATTAGATTAAACATATTTCTCTACGATCTAAAGCATATACTTTTAGGTACTATCACACACAATTAGATTAAACATATTTCTGTACAATCTAAAGCATATAATGTTAGATATTATTCTTTGAGGTATTATCAGACACAATTAGATTAAACATATTTCTATAAATCTGAAGCCTATACTTAATGGTACTATTACACACAATTAGAATAAATATATTTCTATAAATCTGAAGGCTATACGTTTAAGTACTATCACACACAATCAGATAACACATATTTCTGTGCAATCTAAAGCCTAAACGTTTTGGTACTATCACACATAGTTTTATTACAAATATTTCCCTACGATCTAAAGCCTATATTTTAAAGTACTATCACATACAATTAGATTACACATATTTCTATACAATCTAAAGCCTATAATGTAAGGTACTATAAAACAACTAGATTACACATATTTTACAGCTGTAATTTTACTTTCTGTTACCAATTTAGATAGTATCATATTCTATCTTAAAGTATTTTAATTTATTAGTCAGTACTGGTACAATGCCAACTATAAATAAAGGCAACAGTAGTATACCGCTGTTCGAAAGTCATAAATCGATTGAGATATTAAAACTCTTTACCAATATCATAACTTTCCAATATTACAAACTATATATAATAAGTCAAATTACTTCTATTCGAACTAACTTTTCATTGGTCATTATATCATGATCATGATCACGTGACACCCTCAAGGTATAAAGTTCTCTACGTTTTGACCTAACCGAGGAATGTAATACCTTACTTTGTCTCTTTTATCTTCTAAAATACATTCTTTCTCCCGCATCTGTTCTTCACGGAGAAGTTTGTTCCTCCTTCTTTTCCTACGCCGGCGTCTTCTGCGTTTTTCTTCTTCCTCGTATGTGCAAGTTGTATCGGAATATGTGTTGTCTATTCCGAGTGTTCTTTGCTCACTGTTATAAGTTAATACAAAATGAATTCTATACTATATATAATCATTTTAATATTAGACTGTTCGGTTTTTCCTAACATGATCAACTCGAAGGGTACCACATGTGGAGCAGAATCTGCTTATCCTTCTGGAGCATCTAAGAGCACCCCAATTTTCAGCAGAGTTCGTGTAGCTCAGTCTTTAGTTTTCTGTGTTGTGTTTTGTGTACTCTGTTTTGTTGTTTGTCTTCTTCTTTTTTAACAATGACGTTGTCAGTTTATTTTCGACTAAGGAGATTTAATTTTCCTCTGGTATCTCTATCCGCATTTCTTTAGCAACCATTTATATAAAATAAAATCATGTACAAATCGACACTTTAAGACAATTTGGAATAAAAGCACGTGTGATGACGATTTCAGAGTAAGCAAATGTTTTTGAATGAGGAATTTTGTAGTATAAAGCTATTTTTCAGTAATCAATCTGCAGTAATTTTGTAAATTTTTGAGAAATTGCAGTTTTTAACCCTTCGTTGCCCTACTTCTTAGAAACAAACTTAGAAATACGAAAATAAAAGTTTTACTTACAGTTGTTTAACATTTTCAGACTGAAGAATCTGTGACTTGTTAATCTCAAAGTCATAAGACGTATCAGTGTGCCGACTAGTATTAAACAAAACGAAAATGAATTAATACATTTACTTAAGATTTGAAGAAGGCAGAATGTGACCTGAAGGTCAGGCTACGAAATTTTGCTTACTAAAGATCTCTGTCCTTTTGAATGCATGCGATTCTATCAGTTTTTTTTAACAATGGTAATTTAAGTTTTAGTTTTTGATTCTTGATTTACAAATATCATTCTATTCAATATTCCGTCCAATTATTTCATTTATATTGTCACAAACATGTCATTGCAGTGTTTTAATTCATTCCTTATCCTAGTCAACAAATACAAAAAAAGTAGGAGGCATGGTATAACTGCCAATGAAGCAACTTTCCACCAAAGTTCAAATGAAGTGGATGCAAATTCCACTGCAAAGTAAGGGTATATTAGATATAGACGAAATTTACGCATTGTAGCAAGGGTTTTCCAGGGACACTACCAGGAATACCTCTCATTCTAACTACTTGATTGTTAACATAGACAAAACATATAACCAAACGAACATCCGACTTTGGCAAATGTACTAGTCTAATTAAGTATATAATACCAAGGGATGAATATATTTGGTACTGAAGTTTGTTTTGTTTTATAACGTAATCATGATATTCGTTTTCCTCATGGAAATTGTAATAAGAAAAAAAGTATCTAAAATTAAAACACAATCACCCCCCCCCCCCCTCCCCCCACACACACACATTTATACACTATAGGAATTGTGATATTCTATATAATCATTATTGCGATATGAAATTTTAATGAAAAAAATATACACGGTACTACAATTTTTTATTGCACTATGGACGCATTTCGATAAATATCTCTTCCGTGATGTCCAAGACATGGATATTTAAAAATCCAAAACCTAATACAGAAGTGGAAGAGTTGATCAACCAAAACCAATAAAAGTTTAGTAAAAATTGGATAAGGAATCAGAGCTTTGCATTCTTAAATTTGACCACTCGACCGCCTAGGCTTCATAAAAATATAGCTTTTGGTGGTCCATGTTATGCTTTTCCTCGTTGACTTCAACAAGGATTGTAACACAGTAAATGATCATGATGATTTATAGTGACAAATAGAGGGTGTAACTTTCAGATCAGCAATTTTAATTACCATGCCGCCACATCAAATTTTGATTGTATTATACACGTCTACCCATGTGCCAACTCTATGTCTGACATCCTTAATCGGATAACACGCGGTTATAAGGGACTAACAGCATAATATGTATAAGATCATTAATAAGATTTGCATCCCAAGGATACCAATATACAGTCATCCATGGACTGTCCCCTCCCGGCTGCAGTGAACATCTTACCTACGAGGGGCGCTCAGTTTTCTATATGGGATGCATACATACGCATCCATATGGACGTTAAAATCTGATTTTTCTTATATAGAATAATTGTCACGATAGTTGCATGTTCAAGGTGACGTTTCTGTCCTATCAGACATATCGTGATATTCCAGTTCCAAATGTCCCTCATTGGAAGATCAACATGGCAAAATCTCATTATTATATATGTTGTTAGTGTGTTTGAATCAATATGCATGAAATATTTGGCACAGCACATCGAGGACTCGAAAAAATTTATTAATCAGCACAATACTATTATAATAGACTATATTCCAATATGTTAGTCAGTACATACAAAGTGTTAAGTTAATCATTTCTATTATACACGATTCATATTTTTTTAAAATTCCAGGGCTTGGGTTTCCTACCTTGATTTTCGTGTAAGAGGGTTGCTGCTCGAAGTGGTGCACTTGCAATCATCCCTTCGATAATTTTACGGCCGTCATAACGAGTTAGTTGACCGTTATGGAATATCTACTTCACAGATGACTACGGACATGTTTTAATTGAAACCACAATTGAGTCCTAGCTTGGACGAATGGGATTTACTGAATTAGAATTATCATCCAGGGTTGTACTTCAATGAGCAACATGTGCGATTTGTGGGGCATGATCGCCATACCCTTCCGCAGCATCCTAGGTATTCCACGGTTTTGGTGATGTTCGTGTTGCTCAGTTGTAAGTGTTCTTTATTGTGTTTTGCGTTCTGCTGTCTTTTCGTCGTTTTTCGTTTTTTGCCATGGAATTGTCAGCTTGTTTTCTACTTATGAATATGCAGTTATATTCTTAAATATATCTTCACTTATTGTGGACTCATTTATTTGCATGGGTACTAATTTTATAATGGATTAAGACCTCTAGGTTTTGCTAGAATTCTTACAAGTCTATAAAAAAATTGCACTTCGTTGAAAAGTTAAATTCCAAGTTAATCTATAAAGTAAGTTTCTGTGTGTGTTGCATTGTCGTTTGATTTTTGTTGCACTTCAGTGTTTCGTTGTTCTCCTCTTATAGTTAATGTGTTTCCCTCAGTTTTAGTTTGTAACCCGGATTTGTTTTCTCTAAATCGATTTCATGACTTTCGAACAGCGGTATACTACTGTTGCCTTTATTTAACCTATACCTACTAAATCAACAAAAATTGGTATCCATCAAAATAATTAAATCCAAAGTTGTCTTCAAGCTAAGCAAAGTATTGTTCGTGCTTAGGCTAAATCAAGATAAAATCACTAGGATTCAATTGTATTTTTGTTAGATAAAGGCAAACAGTAGTATACCGCTGTTTAAAAATGTTGTTAGAAATGTCGTTATGAATTAATTTTGCGACCATTTTTACTAGTAAGCGAACATGCAAAGTATTTTCTGGATAAGAGCTTAACATATTGTTCATGTATGTTGATTTCTACATTTATAGAGGTGTTTATTTATTTTTGTCGTTTAATTTTGTCTCATTGAATGAAGGAAAACATAGTATACCACTGTTTAATAGTCATACATCGATTATGCGAAAACAAATCCTGGTCACAAACCAAAACCAAAAGAAACACATCACCTATAACATGTATAAGAGCATGAAGAGGAAAAGAACGGAACAACAGAAACACTGAACTGCTACAAAAACAAACACTAACAAAAATAGAAACGAACTGACATATACCTTGTAACTCTCTCTTATATTCAGTAACTAATTTGATATCAAATATAAGACAAACATTTCAGCAACTTATTACAAGATTCTCAAAGCCAATATAACTAACCTGTACGCATTCTTTGTACGGATCTCACTACCTGGTGGTTTTCTAAAAAAGAAACAAACGGATAAACGGTATACATTCGGTGGTAATAATTAAATGCTTCATTAATAGTACTGCAGTTAAAGTAAAACATTTCTAAATTCAATAATAAAGATTAAGTAAGGAGGTTATCAGATCTATAAAAACCTGAACAGTAACGTGAAATCATATTCCAAGTTTTACTTTGATTTTGTTTATATAGCCAGTAAACCTATTAAACATTTAACTAAACATAATCAATCTAACCCTGAAGTGTAATCGTTTTAAAAATATTATCTTTATCAGAAAAAAAACATATTTGTCAGTTATCATTAAAAACAATTCGTTACAAATAAAGGCAACAGTAGTATACCGGTGTTCAAAAGTCATAAATAGATTGGAAGAAAACAAATCCGGGTTACAAACTAAAACTAAGGGAAACATATCAACTATAAGTGGGAAACAAACGATCAACAGGACCACTGAAGTACAACAAAAACAAACGCCAACATACATAGAAACGAACTATTTGATAACAACTGCATTAAAAAATACAGATTTTGTGTTATTGAAATTGACTGTTACAAAATTTTAAAAATTATTTAAGATTTAGGAATGTATCTCCCTCATGTAAAGCTCTGATTCCTTGCCCGGCTTTGTCTATACTTTTTTGTTTAATAGCTCTTCATCCTTTTAAAAAACTTTGGATTTTCAAATAGTTTGGCCTCGAGCATCACTGAAGAGGCAATTTTATAATTATTTGGACAACAAACGATAAGACATAAACATTATTCAACCGAAACCATAACAGAAACATCAAAAATAAATATATGAATGTTGGATGTACAAAATACCGAGACAAGTCGTATATCAATGAAAATTCACACTCGGTATAACAGTCTTATTCGGAAATAGGTCACGTTCGGTACATAGCAGACAGACGACATAAATGTAAAACCACAATCTAAGACATGGTAAAAAAATTAGTTAGTGTAGACACAGACACATCGTATAAATCAACCAATTCGTGATGGTGTTAAATATATATTTCTATTAGTAAAGAAAGGACACATATGCTTCAGCATCCTGTATGGAATAATATTTTGTCATCCAATCATGTCACAAATATATAAAGCAAAAGCAGGATACTATTAAATATGGCTTGTATTGTTTTTGGTATTTTTTTATTTCATCTGAAAACATCCAAGCATTGAGATACATACATATGAATATAATCTTAAATATTATATTAGGTGAAATTAAAACAGTATAGAGTTTAAAATCAATACTTTAAGTCAGAAGTGTTTCATTTAAGGAACAAAATCAGTTGAAAATATTGATAGGTTATGGAGCTTCTTTTCGAGATATTTGACTTTTCTTTAAATGTCGAGAAAAGGCTACCTCGGACTATTAAATTATATTGGCATTGATATTATTTGGGTCTCTGTATCATGGAAATAACACAAGGAGTCCACACATCTGACAAAATTCCTAAACCCGACCTTAGTATATCTTAATTACATGAAAACCGAAGAAAAGAAAACGATTGCTTTGACCCCCCCCCCTTTAAGACATGTATCTCTGTTAACAATAGAATATCGAGCGTAGATAGCACCAGCAGAGGTTACCAGATCAGAAACATGTAAGGATTAACCAGGGCATGTGGATAGAATTACAAAATAAACTATATCCATAGTCATGGGAGGACAAAATAAAAAACAAAATAAAAACAGATATAAATACATATATACACAAACCTTTACACCTTTTGTTTGCGGCATACCATCTTTTCCGCAATTTTATTGTTTTCTGTTTGATATTTAATTAATAGTTAAGATCTAATTTGTTACATCTGGTGATCCGTTTATTCGGCAATCGCCAATGGCAGTCAGCAGGGTTTAAGAACACTTGTTGTTCGACCTGTTAGTCAAATGCGTTTTGTTAAAATATACTTTTTCACATTTTTGGTCTTTTGGAAGATGTTGTTTGTGCTGTATTTAGACCCCTCTAACAAGAATTTTTTTTTGCATGCACACGTATAAAAATTGCGGTTTTTATCCTACGCAATCATAGGTTTGAACGTTGTTTACAATTTAGACTTGTTTATATTTTTTCGTTTGGGCTTGTATTATATTTGCCTTCGGGTTTATATGGTCCGGTCATCCTATTTTGACCCCTCAAAATTCAAGAGTCTATCTTAAATTGAGGTAAATTGTATGGCTTTCCAAATACCGTTTCTATTCCTAACATCATTTAAGAGACATTAATTGTCGAAATCCGGATATGGTGTACAAAAACCTTTGCACCTATTGTTTGCGGTATATCATCTTTTCCGCAAGTTTATTGTTTTCTGTTTAGTATTAAATTTATAATTAAGATCCATTTATTACATCGGTGATCCGTTTTTTTGGCAATCGCCAATGGCAGTCAGCAGGGTTTAAGAATATTTGTTGTTCGACCTGTTAGTCAAATACGTTTTGTTAAAACATACTTGTTCACTTTTTTAGTCTTTTGGAAAATGTTGTTTGTGCTGTATTTAGACCCCTCTACCAAGAAATTTGTTTTGCATGCACACGTTTAAAAATTGCGGTTTTTATCCAACGCAATCATAGGTTTGAACGTTGTTTGCAATTTAGACTTGTATATATAAAACGTCTACATATTAGTAATTAATCTTTCGTACAAAAGCGCTGAATAGTTACAAGATGCTCACTACCCTCTGTCAGATTGTTTTTTTGCGTCAACTTTTATAAATTCTACATACATTATTATAATGCTTTATATGATAAAAAAAGGGGGTTCTCCCCTCAAAAATAATCAATTTCGTTCTACTCTCAATTTTGTGTTTTGTTAAATAAGGTAGATTTTTCATCTTTTTTATATATTTTTGGTCATATTAATTGCACCTTTAAGGGATGGTAATGAAGCATTTAAGATGTAGCCATGTCACGATTAGGATTGGTTGTCAGATATTCGGACTCCTTGGTTTTTTTTATACAAGGTCAAATATAATAATAAAACTACTTCATTAATGTTATCGTCAATTAGAAATCAAACAACCCGTTTCTGACTTTTTACAACCCTCTTTTATAAAAAATCAGCAAAACTGTTATTTAAACCTGATCTGGTTTTCCTGACCACACAAAACTAAAGAAAATATTTTGAACTTGTTTTTGTCTTATCCACACCAAGGTTTGGTAGAACTGTCGATGACTGAACTATAATATCTAAAGCTAGCGTTTTAATAACATTAATCTTTTGCATATAAATCAAATCTCTATATAGCAATGATTAAGTAACATTTTTATTTTAAAATTTAGTCTTCGAAATTAACGAGCATTTTATTTTTACTGAACAGACAAAAGGTCAGTCCAAAAAATTTAGATATTTTTGAATACTTCCAATTCAAGTTTAGAGAGTTCTTTTAAAGTTGATGAAATTCATGCTAAGTTAATAAAAGACATGAGTCATCTGCATACAGGCTATATTTATAGAACAACTAATCGAAGAATTCAAATAGAGAAAAATATTCAACGAGTGACCGAACAACACATTAGTTCACGATAACGCATGAGTTAATTATCAGTGTTGTTCGGTCACGAGTTAAATATTTTTCGATATTTGAATTCTTTGATTTGTTATTCTTTTTATTACATTGGCAAATGGTTTTTTTTTAAATTAAAGTGGAAAACGTAAGGAACTATATCTTTTTCTACGCATTTACAATTTGTTTTGATCCGACGTTATCGACGTTTTGACAACGCCTATTGTTGTATGACGTCAGAGGAGTGAAATAACCACGTTTATTTCACATGTGAAATTATCAGTTTTTATTTCACTGGGAAATCAATGTAATTCCTTGCAACCAATGTAAACATTATATATATGTAGGACTCTAAAGTGCGATGGTATTCTAAGGTGCGATGGTCACGCTAAAGTGCGACGGTCTACGCTAAAGTGCGATGGTGCCAGACGATATGATGATATGACACGCTAAAGTGCGATTTTATGACGCGCTAAAGTGCGATAGCAATAAGTTCAGGCAATTGTTTTTGTGTTTTTTTTCCTGTGTTTCTATTAATTTCTTTGTTAATTGCTTTATTATAAATCATGCCGTTGTCTTTCTCTTTTGAAATGTTTCTACTGGTCATTGTATGAACCTTTATGACTTGCTATGCGTCGTAGGCTAAGCCTCCACGTTGATGGCCGTACGGTTATTAGTTGCAACATTAACGACGTTTGGTGTTGGGTGGATATTTGTCTCATTGACAGTTGGTTGTACTAAATCTTCTTATTTTCATTTAATGTACGATTGTTGTTAAAAAAGTGAAATGATTGCATTGCAGTAGCTAGTAGTAACTTTATGAACTGTCTCAAGCCAAAAAACCTACAGCTGTAATTCAGTGGTAGTCGTTTCGTTGTTGCTGTATTTCATATTTGTTTTTCGTTTATTGTTTTGTAAATGAATTAGGCCATTATTTTTTCTCGTTTGAATTGTTTTACACTGGTCATTTTGAAGCCCTTGTAAACAAAAATTAGCCAAATTAAGTTAACCTCTTCCAGAACCGACCAAAAATGTTCCGGATTGGGATCATTTGGTTTCTCTTTTTCTTTTTCGCTGTTTAATAAAACCCTGGACAAACATTCTTGTTTTCCGGCATATGAATGACTTCGTTTGTACAAACGGAGTGTAGTGTCAGAATGCTCATTTTCGTAAACAATCGCACTTTTGCGGAAAAACGCACTTTAGCGTTGAACACACATTGAAACGAACTATAATATAACAATGGCCATTTTCCTGACTTGGTACAGGACATTTTAAGAAAAAAATGGTGGGTTGAACCTGGTTTTATGGCATGCCAAACCTCCCGCTTTTATGGCAACGTCAAACACAATACCAAAACGACAACATCACATGACAGGACCACAATACAAATAAATGGGAGAACATATAGGACAAAGAAACACACGAATAATAGCTAGCAGAAGGTACTAGGCTTAAAATTCAATACGCCAGACGTGCGTCTCGTCATCACAAGACTAACCAGTGACGCTCAGATAAACTAAAGGCTCTCAAGAGCCTGTGTCGCTCACCTGGTTCTACTTTGGTTTTGGTAATCATGTAGAAATAGATTAAAATCATAACAGATACCCTAATAATGAGTGAGGCCAAATTTGGTTTAATATTGGTCCTGTAATTTAATAAAAAATCCTGGTGGCCATCTTGAACAGTAAATCGGCAACAATGTAGCAACACTTAATCAAAACCTCATAAGAAACATTTATGCCATGTTTTGGTTTCATTCCATTCAATGCACCTCAAGAAGAAGCATTTGTATGTATTTCCCATAGGGTCTTATGTTAAAGGAAGTCCCCCCATTGGCGGCCATCATGGATGAAGGATCAGCTTCAAAGTAACAAAACTTAGTCAGCACCTCATAAGGAACATTCATGCCATGTTTGGTTTCAATCCATTCAGTATGTGGTTCTCTAAAAGAAGACATTTGTATGTATTGTCCATAGGGTCCTTTGTTAAACATTGTCCCCATCTGGCAGCCATCATGGATGAAGGATCAGCTTCAAAGTAACAACACTTGGTCAGCACCTCAAAAGGAACATGCATGCCATGTTTGGTTTCATTCCATGCAATGGTTCTCTAAAAGAAAACATTTGTACGTATTTCTCATAGGGTCCTATGTTAAACTAAGTCCTCCGCTGGCGGCCATCTTAGATTATGGATCGGCTTCATAGTAACAACACTTGGTCAACACCTCATAAGGAACATTCATGTCATGTTTGGTTTCATTGCATTCAGTGGTTCTCTAAAAGAAGACATTTGTATGTATTTCCCATAGGGTCCTATTTTAAACTAAGTCCCCCGCTGGCTGCCATCTTGGATGATGGATCAGCTTCAAAGTAACAACACTTGGTCAGCACCTCATAAGGAACATTCTTGCCATGTTTGGTTTCATTCCATTCAGTGGTTCTCTAAAAGAAGACGTTTGTATGTATTTCCCATAGGGTCCCATGTTAAACTAAGTCCCCCGCTGGCGGCCATCTTGGATTATGGATCGGCTTCAAAGTAACAACACTCAGTCAGCACCTCATAAGGAACATTCATGCCATGTTTGGTTTCATTCCATTCAGTGGTTCTCTAAAAGAAGACATTTGTATGTATTTCTGATAGGGTCCCATGTTAAACTAAGTCCTCTGCAGGCGGCCATCTTGGATTATGGATCGGCTTCAAAGTAACAACACTCGGTCAGCACCTCATAAAGAAATTCATACCATGTTTGGTTTCATTCCATTCAGTGGTTCTCTAAAAGAAGACATTTGTATGTATTTCCCATAGGGTTCTATGTTAAACTAAGTCCCCCGCTGGCGGCCATCTTGGATTATGGATCGGCTTCAAAGTAACAACACTCGGTCAGCACCTCATAAGAAACATTCATGCCATGTTTGGTTTCATTCCATTCAGTGGTTCTCTAAAAGAAGACATTTGTATGTATTTCCCATAGTGTCCTATGTTAAACTAAGTCCCCCGCTGGCGGCCATCTTGGATGATGGATCCGCTACAAAGTAACAACACTTGGCCAGCACCTCATAAGGAACATTCATGCCATGTTTGGTTTCATTCCATTCAGTGGTTCTCTAGAAGAAGTTCAAAATGTAAAAAGTTAACGCCGACGACGGACGACGACGGACGACGCCGGACGACGACGGACGACGGACGCCAGGTGAGCTAAAAAAGTTTGAAAGCCAACACAAGTACAAAGTTGAAGAGCACCGAGGACCAAAACTTCCAAAAAGTTGCGCCTAACACGGCCAGGATTTTCTGCCTGGGACAAGAACATCCTTATTATTTAGAATAATTTATAATTTTGCAAACAGTAAATATTATAAAATGACTATATAATAGATATACATGATAAAACCAAAGTGGGGACTAACTAGAGAATAAAAACGGATACATTAAATAAAACAACTTAATCCAACATATAAAAATACACAGCCGAGTTAGCTAAAGCCTCAACGCACAAAGTGACGTCACATTTGAAATTCTAAAAAAAACACACAAATTGACGTCACATATGAATTAAAATGTCCTTAAAATCATAAATCGCTCAAACGTGTCTGATTTCACATCCCCCAAGCGTGTCCGATAATTGTTATTCGCCAAAAAGTGTCCACTTAAAGACGCCTGAACGTCTCAAAACTATTAGCGCTATTATATCCTCAGTGACGTCAATAACGTTTACGGTAATTCATTCTACGATTGAAGATGTTGGGATCCTAAAAAGAGATCAAAGCCGCATTCAAAGGACATGAATGCTGAAGTTTTTTAGGCACAATTGCTGGAAATTAAAAAGGAACAGAGTTGAAAGAAGAACATCCAAAATTTATTAGCACTTATTTGTTCAATGCCGGTTGTTCATATTTATCATAATTGCAAGTTTGATTTGAAAAACATATAAATTAACTCTTTACTGTTGATTGCTTAATGTCCAGTGACAAATATTACATGAATATTTAGAGCAAACACAAACAAATGCCAATTAATTAGTTTTGTACAGTTAAATTCAGCGTTTACTAGGTGAATTCTTTTGTACTCCATTGATGTCTAACTACATGCATATTAATGATGTTTGAGAATATTGCACTGGTATTAAGTTTTTTTTGGTTCGAGCATCAAAAAAGAGACATAAACATGAGGAATACGTTTGCATGTATCATTAGCATCCCTGATACCAACCTTATAATTCATAACCGTTATTTCCTAAAGGTATCTTTAAAATACGTTAAAAACTGTATGCGTAAATTCCAATATTAAATGTAAGTAATTTTGAATATGCATCATCCTTTTAACTGTCGCATTACGTTAAATCGATTGTGAAAGAGGTAATAATCGACTAGGAAAAAGTAAAGTATTAACTGATTGTTGCTTGTGGCAATTATTTCATGCATATCAAATACAATGAATTGATTGATTATTGGTTGTTAAACGTCCAGTGGCAAATATTTCATGCATATTCAAAACTAGAACATATTAACAATAAAAACATAAGGAAGGTCTATCTCTTCTTACACGAGATTTCAGGTTTAACATCCCCCACTGGACGTGGCTACGTAATTATACATCCCATATAGCCAAACAGACGCCCAACTTTCGCAAGGATTTAACTGTCGGTTTTAGGAAGACCTTATTAACCATATTTCTGTTCTCCAGTCACACTTGAGGGTAGGACTATAGATGAAAGAGTAAATTAAAAGGAGTATACTTCAATAGAAGAACAATAACAAAATTATATATAATATTGGTGGACAATTTATTGTTACTTGAAGGCCAAAAATTAACTTAATTAAATTAAGCGTTCATAAAAAGAAGCGATTAGGCTCTATATGGACACGTTTGGGCGTTCTCAAAAGTGACACGTTTTGGCGCCCTTTAGCACCTAGACATGTTGTGCAGTTCAGTGACGTCATATGGACACGTTTGGGGGAATCGGACACGTTTGGGGGATGGACACGTTTCTGAGTGTTACATATATCCAGAGTAATTCATTTTCATAACATTTATCTTTGTTTTATTTTTAAGTTCAGAACTCATAAGTTTTAAATATAATAGACATCACGACCAAATTTGAAAATATTGAGATAAGTGTGCATTGTTTATGCAGTTCTGAGAATCAGATTCTTAATATATAGGAACACATATGTGCCAACATTCTGTCTATACTTATATTTTGTCATTGCACAAGGTCATGATATTTGACGTATTTACACTAAATCTGTTGGATGTGTATTGTTTGCTATTTTAGCCTGGAAAACATGATTTATGTTTTAGTTCTAATTGCCTCTGAGTCTTTCCAACTGGAAATATTTTTTTATATTGTGCTCTTACATCTCAGTCAAATGTTAGGGGTGTTTTTAGTCCTACCAAACATGTTTAACCCCGCAACATACCTAATAGGCTTGTCAAAAGCCAGGAGCATGTAATTCAGTGGTTGTCATTGGTTGCTTTCTGTCCTATTTAAATTTTGTTATGTTCTTTATCCATAATCCGGGCGACAATTTTCTTGTTTGAATTGATTTATATTTTGTCTTGTAGTGGTCACCTTTCATAGCTTTTTTTTTCGGTACTTATATTGCTTATTGATGAATGCTGCATTAGTAAAGTTAATTGTTAATTTCCACTTCATTTTGTCAATGATGGATAATTGTATCATTGCTTAATACACTAATGTTTTCATCTTGACACTCAAAGAAGAGCTTTGGATTTTACAATTTTATAAAGGAATTTCCGATTTGAATTTCCCTTACAGCTCGGTATTTTTGTTATTTTATTTTTAATGAAATAAATCAAACTAGAAATATTCCATTACTCAAAACTACAAAATATTGAAACGTTAATTTAAGTTACATTTTATAGTAAAGGGAGTTTATTTAACTTACTTATCATACTTAAATGTTGGTATTTCTAATTTACGGAGTGAGATAACCGATTCATCAGGTTCTTCATAGTACACAGGTATCTCTACTCTTAGGTGCTGGTTGTGGACTAATTCTTTCTTTCTTACCGCCACACAAGGACGCACATTTATCTGAAATTATTATATTATTAATTGATGAACGTTGGTTATCTTTCAATGTCAATGATAAAACAGCATGCAAAACAAATAAAAGGGTCTTGAAATATTATATGGATAAGTATTGTCCACTTCTTACGAATTATTACCTTGATTTGTCTAGAGTCTTTTTGTGTTGTTGGGGTACTGTCTCAATTTCAAAACACTTGTATCTTATGTTATACATATACGTTACAAAATATATATTGAAAACGAACACAATATATATATAGATTCTACCACTGCCTCGAGTGTGATACGATATTTATCACCTCGAGACAGTTAAATTTTTAAATTTAAAACGCGAGGCTCGCCGAGCACACTTATATCACGTCACAATTTAGGCCAATTCTGGTTCTCGTTTCCAACCAGTTTGATTGCCGATAAAAGAGGGGCGAAAGATACCAGAGGGACATTCAAACTCATAGATCGAAAATATACTGACAATGCCATGGCTAAAAAAGAAAAAGACAAAAAGACATATAATAGTACACAAGACACAACATAGAAAATTAAAGACTAAGCAACACGAAACCCACCAAAAACTGGGAGTGATCTCATGTGCTCCGGAAGGATAAGCAAATCCTGCTTCACATATGGCACTCGTCGTTTTGCTCATGTTATTACAAACCCGGTAAATAGTCTTATAAGAATAAAGAAATACGTACCTTGACAATAACAGCATACAATGACTCCGATCACCAACAGTACCACAAAGACACATGCTAAGATGATTGTGACTATTTCGCCTGTACTTATTGTTGAATCCGGATTTAATGCAGCTGCAGGGTCTGAAACTACAAAGGAGATTATACACAGTAAACCTTTGTCAGTCAATATACCAGATAGTTCATTGCTTTCATCATATCAAATCTTAGCAAAATGATACCCACGGAAATAAATGAATGTGCCTAATATTCCAATGATTATTTAAGAGAGTTGAAAGATACCAGAGGGACATTCAAACTCATAAGTCGAAAACAAACTGAAGTCACGTCTTCCGCGACTATTCATGACGTTAAAACACTTGATCCCTGGGATGTGTTTTAAATGATTTTAGTCTATGCTGGACGATTTTTCATTACTAATTGTATTTGGCTTTTAACTAGCTTTCAGTCTAGCTTTCAGTAACTGCAAGTACTCTCAAATCTTTCTTTCGTGTTAATTTGACCTTTTGATACAATTCGTTATGCATTTGTGTTATTCAATGTTTACTTATTTTGTGTCATATCTCGTCTCACTATTCTTAATATATACCACATTTAATAAGTATTAAGTATGAGGATAAATTTTCACTTCTGTTCTCGTACTATGAACAACAACGTATTTACATTGTGTCATAGATCAAAATTGTTGTCATATGTGTGTTTACGTGGTTTTTTGTGTGTGTGTAAATGTGTCTTTTGATTGGGTAAAGCCATTATAATTGATATTTCAAAGTGTGTCCTTCTATGTTGCGATGTTACATTCAGGTTAAGGTGAATGTTGGCGCCTGTTTAAACGTTTCAACCCAGTGCATTTGTTTGCATCTTTTCTAAGTCAGGAACCTGTTGTTCTGTAGTTGTCGTTTGTTAATGTGGGTCGAAAGTGTTTCTCGTTCCTCTTTTTTTATTTCGATTAAATTTGCTCTTCCTTTTTAAATGGTTTTACACTAGTAATTTTCGGGCCGTTTATAGATTTTTGTTCGTAGCGGGTCAAGGTTTGGTGTTGAAGGCCGTTCTTTGACCTTATACACATTGTGACTCGGACGGATAGTTTTCTCATTGGCACTCACGCAACATCTCCTGATATCTATTGAAGACGCCATTGCTAAAACAGACCAACAGACAAACATTAGTACACAGAACACAAATAGAAAACTAGATAGAGCAACAAGAACCCCACCAAAAACCGGTGGTGATCTTAGATGCCCCTGAATGGTAAGCAGATCCTGCTCTTCATGTGCCACCCGTCATATTGCCCATGTTAGTACAAACCCGGTGATAAGTCTAATTCGGTAGGTCAAACTTCACACATGAATACTACAGTTGGAGTACAATAAAAGATACAGAAAGGATAATTATATTTGTGTTTATCATTATAGGATAAATGATTTCATATTGTTTTATTTAAACTAACATTGATTTTGTTTACATATTGCTTTGTATGTACATTATCAGGACTATTTATCCTACATCATGTCGATACTGATTACTTAAGTATTGGCATCGCACATGGTCATGCGTTCCTCAGACTGTGTATGATATCGTTTACTAAATGTGTTCTGATTGATACTCTAGTATATGAGCAGTAATTGGCTTTGAATTAGCTTTCAGTTAATGTGCGTATAACGATGATTTGTGTCTAGTGTTGTTTTTTTTCCGCCTCGTACCGATCTTAATGTTGAGCCAATTGCAACTGATTCTTACAGTTCAATCTCATATTGTGATGTAACACTTCTATCCTAGATTAGGGGAGCGTTGAGCCCTCACAAATATGTTTAACACCCTCCTAGCATTCTTCATGTGCCTGTCCCGAGCCAGGAGCCTGAAGTTAAGTGGTTGTCGTTGGTTCATGTCTGTTTTATGTTGTTTTTTAAATTGATTTGTAAAAAAAAGGTCGTAGGTTTTTCGTTTGAATTGTTTCACTTTTATGCCGGGGCCTTCTATAGCCGACTATACGGTTTATGTTTATCATATAGTTGAAGGCCGTACGGTTGCATACAACTGCCTACATCCACTTCATTTGAACAAATTGAATAAACTACATTTATGAATAGCTAAGTGAGACAAACAGAAATCGTATACTGCTTTTCTTTTTAGATAACTGTAAAGGAATGTCGGAATGATATTATAAATGCAGATATATTATGAAATATGTGTATTATAATTTCAGAGACTCAAACACATCAAACAAATGGAAAACAACTGTCATATTTCTGACTTGGTGACGGAATTTCCTTATGTAGGAATAGTGGATGAGACCTGGCTTTAAAGCTGGATAAACCGCTCACTAAACGACACATCTGATAAATTTAAATTATCAAATTAAAACAAAAATCAACATTTATTTTAATCCTGTATCAAATATAAATTACCAGAAGTGTCAACATTTGAAGAGGAAATACAGCTTCTTCATTAGGATGATACAAAATCATTCAGAAGATACCTCGATTGTTCTAAAAGAGAAAGGCGAAAAATACCAGAGGGACATTTAATCCTAAGTCGAAAATGAACTGACAACGCCATTGCTAAAAACGATAAAAGCTAACAGAAAAACAGCAGTGCACAAAACAAAATATAGAAAACTAAAGAATCAGCAACACAAACCCCACCAAAAAAACTAGTGGTGATTTCAGGTGCTCCGGAATAGTAAGGAGATCCTGCTCCACATGTGACGCCCATCATGTTCCTCATGTAAGTACAAACCTGGTTATACAATTCTGCTCAAGTTGATATTAGGGGCGTATGAAACTTGCAGTGAGTTGAGAGTTTTTTTTGCTCCGTGGTGAAGGCCTCACTGTGACTTTGAGATGAAAAACAGCAAAAAAAAGAGCTGTGCCTTTGCTTAAGTGTGTTTTTTGTTGTGCATGCACTTATTTTATGTCATGAATAGATACCCTTTATCTTTTGTTTCGTGTAATGTGTGGAGTTCGTAGAAAGTTTCCCCGTGCTTGATAGGTATAAAGATATAAGAAGATGTGGTATGAGTGCCAATGAGACAACTCTCCATCCAAGTCACAATTTGTAAACGTAAACCATTATAAGTGAAAGTACGGTCGTCAACACGGAGCCTTGGCTCACACTTAATAGCAAGATATAAAGGGCCCCAAAAATTACTAGTGTAAAACCATTCAAACGGGAAAACCAACGGTCTAATCTATATGAAACGAGAACCGAGAAGCACTTATGAACCACATCAATAAACGACAACCACTAAATATCAGTTTCCTGACTTAGGACAGGTGCAGACAAATGCTACGTTTTAAGGTACCAACCTTCACCCTTACATGAAACACTGCTCCTTTCAAATATAGATTTAATTCGTCTTCTAGCAATTGTTCCACTACCAAACTGTATATTCTCCTTACTAGAACACTTGGTTAAATCAAAAACCTCATAATAAACTTTTCAAATAATGCCTTTGAAAATAGTGGAATTTATTACTTTTGGAGTGTAAAACATTCGTTGGAAGTATTTAACAAGTTGCATGCTTATATTGGTGATTTTGAATCTATACAAAGTTAAGATTTTTATACCCTATATATCACTTTGCCTCATATTCATTTATATTGGCTTAATTCACACACCTAATTAAATGGGCATTTAAAAAGTCAAAATGCAAATATATATGTTCAAACTCTTTTAGGTAATTTTTTACCACGAATGTGACCTACCGAATCAGACAATTTACTGGGTTTGTAATCATGAGCAATACGACGGGTGCCATATTTGAAGCAGGATCTGCTTATCCTTCCGGAGCACATGAGATCACCCCCAGTTTTTGGTGGGGTTCGTGTTGCTTAGTCTTTAATTTTCTTAGTTGTGTCTTGTGTACTATTATATGTCTGTTTGTCTTTTTCTTTTTTAGCCATGGCATTGTCAGTTTAGTTTCGATATATGAGTTTGACTGTTCCTCTGGTATCTTTCGCCCCTCTTTTAGTAACAACAAACAAAAAAAAAACTATGCAAATTTGATCTGCTTTGATACTATCCTCTAAATATTACTAGATTTTTGTTCGCTTTGGAGAATACGTATATCGTCAAGGTATCGGAATTCCAATGGGAACTAACTGCGCCCTTCTTATTGCGGACCTGTTTCTGTATTGTAATGAGTTAAAATTTATGACTAAAATCAGCAAAGACCTATCGAAACAACATCTGATACAAAAATGTGATAATACTTTTAGATATTTGGAGGATATATTGGCTCTCAATAATGACGACTTAAGTATGTACACTATAGAGGTTTATCTTGTTGAACTAACTTTAAATAAAGCTAATACTAATTATGACTACTGCCCTCTCCTGGATCTTGATATCTATATCAATAACGTGAAGTTTAATACAAAAATTTATGATAAAAGAGATGATTTTTCATTTCCTTTTGTTAATTATCTATTTTCATAGGTGACGTTCCCTTATCACAACTTGGTCGATTCGCTCGTGTATGTGACAACATATTAGATCTTACCGAAAGAAATTTATGTATTTCTAAAAAAATATTACACCAGGGATTTTGATATCACAAACTAGTTAACCCATTTACTAGATTTTATCATCGGTACAAGGACATCATTCGTAAATATAAATCAACATGCAGACATCTTATTAGTTCAGGTATTTACCATCTAATTTTGGTTATGTTCTTTAAAGTGCACAAACATGTCGGCATAAACCCCAAAAGCTAACAAAACCTTTAACAAACTTATACAGAAGGGATATAGTTACGATACTTTATATGTCATTTAAGATGGCATATTTTGGCTTCAATATTGATTCAGTAATAGGGTCTTTGCATCGGAAATAAACACATCTATTTAAAAACCAGTTGTTGGCATGATACGAGTTATGTTCTTCTCGTATATTTTATGATGATATGATACTAAACCCCTAACGGGAGGGGTTGTGCTTGATATTCATATGATGAAGACATAATCTTTCTATCAGTTTAGTTGAGGTCTGGAGCTGGCATGTCAGTAGTTGCTAGTAGTCCTTTGTTAATTTATGTATCATTGTCACTTTGCTTTTTTGTTACTTTTTCTGACTTAAGACTTGGACTTCTTTTAAACTGAGTTTTACTGTGCGTATTGCTGTGTGTTTGTTTTTCTACTTTGGCTAGAAGTATAGAGGGAGGTTGGAGACCTCACATTTCATGTTTAACCCCGCCACGTTTTCGCGCCTGTCCCTAGTCAGGAGCCTCTGGCCTTTTTAGTTTTGTATAATTTTTAATTTTAGTTCATTTATATATTTTGGAGTTTAGTATGACGTCCATTATCACTTAACCAGTACACATTTTTGTTTAGGGCCAACTGAAGCACGCCTTCGATGTGTTGAAGACCAATTGGTGGCCTTCGGCTGTTTTCTGCTCTTTGGTCGTGTTGTTGTCTCTTTGACTCATTCCCCATTTCCATTCTCAATTTTATTTTCTGTATTTGTTAAGTTATGATGTAGTTATTCTTAACACAACCCCTTTTATGTGTGCCACATCATTCTCTCAATATAAGACACACACTACCTACTATTGGTTCTTATTCCTATCCACGTTTAATTTCCACTTCAAACATGTTATGGAAGCGGGATCAATATACCTGTATTTATATTTATACATTAGACCCTACTGCACTGGTTACCAGAATTGTTTTGACCGGGCCTGATAAGATAGTGTTTGTAGTTGTAAATCTTATTTTTTTCTGTTGTATTCTTGTGTTATGGGAAAGATTATTAATCACCCAGTTCATTTATTAGATTTTAGTTTGAGTCAACTAATTTCATACGATTTATTTGGTTTACAGTTTGATATAGAAGAAACACCGACATAGCTAGATAATACAATTAGTTATCTAATTACTACCACAGTTTTATATTAATTAGTATTGTAATTTACATTGTTATTAATTAATGTTATATGAGTTTTACAAACCTAATCTTTAATTCTATCCTATTTTTGGGAAATTTTTAGAAATTCAAATGTGACGTCACTTTGTGCGTTGATCTTTTTGGTTAACTCGGCTGTGAATTTTTATGTGCTGGTTTATGTTGTTTTATGTATCCGTTTTTATTCTGTAGTGAGTCACCATTTCGGTGTTATCATGTTTATCTATTATATAGTCATTTTTATAAATTTACTGTTTGCAAAAGTATGAATTATTCTAAATACTAAGGATGTTCTTATCCCAGACAGAAAACCTTAGCCGTATTTGACACAACTTTTTGGAACTTTTGGTCCTCAATGCTCTTCAACTTTGTACTTTTTTTATCTGAGCGTCACTGGTTAGTCTTGTGTGGACGAAACACGCGTCTTGCGTATTAAATTTTAAACCTGGTACCTTTTGTTTCTCTGTCCTATATGTTCTCCCATTTATTTGTATTGTAGTCCTGTCATGTAATGTTGTCATTTTAAGGTTATATTTAACATTGCCATAAAAGCGGGAGGTTTGGCTAGCCACAGAACCAGGTTCAACCCACCATTTTTTTCTTAAAATGTCCTGTACCAAGTCAGGAAAATGGCCATTGTTATATTATAGTTCGTTTCTGTGTGTGTTACATTTTAATGTGTTTATGTTTTGTCGTAGTTCTCTTATATTTGATGTGTTTCCCTCAGTTTTAGTTTGTAACCCGGATTTGTTTTTTTCTCAATCGATTTATGAATTTCGAACAGCGGTAAACTACTGTTGCCTTTATTTTTCATCTTATAAAGTCTATCCAAATTATTTGTTGGAAAGAATTCCGCTCAAACCGGTGATAGGGGCCGTCTCAAACTTGCAGCGAAGTGGGAGTTTTTTTGTAGCTCCATGTTGAAGGTCTCACTGTGATTTTAAAATTGAGGAACAGCAATAAAAGCGCTGTTCCTATGCATTTTTATTTGTTTTTGTTGTGCATGTACTGATTTTGTGTCATAGATAGATACCTTATATCCTTTTTTTCTATTATAAGTCGTATTAGGTATAAACACTTTTTATAATGATGAATGTCACTTACATGATGTTTCAACGGACAGAGTGACAAATGAAGAATTGCTTTGTCCCATGGAATTCAAAACTGAACATGTATATGGCCCCTCATCAGAAGCAGTCAGATTAATGATTGTAAGGCTAGGATTGGACAAGCTACCGCCTACGTATTTGCTACCATCAACAGTAATGCCTTGGTTTCCTTTACTCCATATAACATTAGTAGCTGTAGGGTGAGAAACGTAGGAGCATTGTATTGTAATAGCTTGTCCGACGATGCCTTGAGGTGGCTGTGTTGTTGTTACATAGGGTATATCTGTGATTATAAAATAAGATTTCAATAACATTAATAATAAGAGTATTTTTTGGCGAATTACTAACAAAATTAGATATTTGATAATGCTTCATTAGTTTATATGCACTTTGTTTTATCATTTCGGTTTTATTTTATTCTACTGAGTTATGATTTAATTTTTAAAAAACGCATATGTCGTGGGACCTATTGTTTGAAACGTAACGCAGAGGAAAAATAAAAAAAAAAACAACAACTAATCTTTAACGTTCAATATTTAGTCATTGCCTTGATGTCAGATCATTCATATACAGTGGTTCATATAAATATCCAAGAGAATGATAATGCCCGTACCAAATCATGGAAAAGGGTGATTTTACTCTCTTCCAAATTCAGTGTGCGAGGTAATTAGATGAAATGTGTTTTTTCAAGTAATTTGCTTTATGAATGATATCTTTTAGGTATTTTGATTTTCTGTTATCATTGTATCGAAGTATATATTAAATGCTAATCATACCAACCGCAGATCTATTTATCTGAGTTTTGTGAAAGCGTATTTATTTAGCTGAATAAAATAATTTCTCAGATTGTTTTTTGTATGTTCTTTTTTGCTTTCGTGTTCAGTTTGCCTTCACAATGTTTTGATTTGTGAACAACTGTTGAGCCTTTGGTTAACAAAATGCACGTCTTACTAGTCACGATATATTATTTAAAAAAAAACAATACTTATTAATTATAAATCGTATACATATATAATCCAGTTGTTCAATAATTTATTTTGAAGAGTTTCTGCAATGATCTAATAATCAAAATATATTTACGTCTAACGTCCACTCGAACAGTTGCGTTTGAATTTCCATAGTTGTTTGAAGCCCTACATTGGTACGTTCCAGCATTAGTCCGTGTTGATGATGTTATCTGAAGAACAGAACCTGTGGACAACTGTGTATTGGAATTCTCTTTAAACCAGGTATATGTTATTATTGGACTGCCTTTGGCTGTACATGTAGCTGTTATAGCCTGGCTTTCATTTACAGTTATTTGACTGGGACTTATAGCAATGGATGTTGGTGGATCTAAAAACATTTAAAATTGTATGTAGAAAGAAGTTCAGCTTTATAGACCATTCATATAGGAGATAGCTGAATAATCATATGCTAGGTTTATTTGTGCTACCTTCTTTGCTTTAGAGTCCTTTGCAAAGCATATTTTACTTATAAAACTTACATTTGAGATTTTTCTTTGGATACAGAAAAGTACTATTTCAATGATTTGTTTTTATCTGAATTCAAAAATTAATTATTGCAATTATCTTTATCAAAATAAGATGATAAGATTTACCTCCAATGACAGTCAGGTTGACAGTATTACTACTTCCTGTTCCCACGATGTTTGAAGCCTGACAAAAGTACAGTCCTTGATCATCTGCTTGTACATTGTGGATAGTAAGAGACGGGTTAGATGTCGTTCCTCCGCTGTATCTGTTACTACTTATATCAATAGTTGTGTTGACATTATTCACAGTTCTCTGCCAGACTATCTGAGTAGCTGCGGGTGTTGACGTTACTGTACAGTTAATTGTCACAGAATTGCCAAATTCGACAGGGGACACATTTGACACTGTTACATTTGGGATATCTATTAATAAGAACATATCACATGATTACACTGTCGAATTACACAATCAACATTTCTTTAAGTTGCATTCAGATCTAAATAAGATTAATAAAATTGATCATCTAAAATCATGCATCCGATTAAATGAGTAAATGGAAAACACATGTACATTGCTTCGTGGTTTTTTTATGTTAGCTAACCATAATAATGTATTAAATTAATTCAAATGTGGATGCAGTCTTATCGATGCAGAAATCATATTGCTCATTTAATCTTAACATCTTTGAGCTTTTAATCTTGCACTTAACTTCTTTTATTTTTTTTACAATCATGTGTTGCTTCAACCACATCCACTCCATTGTATACTTACAAACGATAACATCTAAGAACGCCTGTGAGCTTTGACCTGTGCCAACAGCATTAGTTGCATGACATATATAATTGCCTTCATCAGATAAGTCTACATCAATGATAGTCAGTGACGGTGACTGTATAGTTGATCCGGAATATTTTGTGGAGGAAGCAGGATTTAGAGTTACTATATTGCCATTGTTTATCTTTCGTGTCCAGTAAACAGCAGTATGTGTAGGGATAGCGGACACTACACAAGCTAGGGTGATGTTATTTCCAATGTTTGTTGAGTAAGCTGTTTGGCCATCTGTTAATACAGGGACACCTAAAATAGAATTAATTGAGAAAATATAGAGCTGTAAAATGTATGGTCAAACTATAAAAGGGGCAGTCACTGGCTACAGATTATAGTAGAAGAAGGTGAAAACATGTATTTATTTTACATAAAACAAGAACAATTAGAACAATCTTCTACATAAGAAAATGCCTTTACCAAGATCGGAATATGACAGTTGTTATCCACTAGTTTGATGTGTTTGAGCTTTTGATTTTGCCATTTGATTAAGAATTTTCCGTTTTGAATTTTCCTCGGAGTTCAGTATTTTTGTGATTTTACTTTTTTTTTAGATTAGTCAACTACAATCTTGGAAGAATTACATATGTTTGTGTTCAAGTCAAATATCAATATTAAATGGTATAACTTATATTAAAATTATATGAATTTAAAGCACCATAAGAATGTTGGTTTGAATTGTTTCATTTTTTCATGTCGGATATTCATGGCTGACTTTACAGTATTTGTTTGGTGTATCTTTTAAAAGCCTATATGCTGTTTATTTTTGAATTATTATATTATGTTTAAATTGATTACCAAAACAGAAATAATGATTTCCTTTTAGAATATATACTTACTTCCAATTACAGTTAAAGGACCTTGCATACTTTGACCAATTCCAACAGGATTAGCTGCTAGACATATATAATTCCCAGCATCATTACTATTGAGATTAGTTATGGTTAGGGATGGTGTACTGACAGATGATCCAGTATATCTGGCGTTAGACATGTCTACAGTGAAAGTTGTACTTCCGAAAACTTTCTGCCAGTAAACTGAGGTAGCAGCGGGATTTGCGGATACAATACAACCAAGTGTAATATTATCTCCATAGTAACCAGTAAAAGATGTTCGAGTAAGACTCACAATAGGATTACCTGATAGAATAAAAGTTTTTTTAAAATAATCTTTATTTTGTCGTATAGATTATTAATAACAATACAAGATTAATTTGTTCACACATCGTTTTCAATTTAATGGAACTTTATACGACCTTTTTACAAGTGAGATGTTTATCCAGCTATAAAACCAGGTTTAATCCACCATTTGCTACTTAAGAAATTGTCTGTACCAAGTCAGGATTATGACACTTGTTATCCATTCGTTTGATGTGTTTGAATTTTTGATTTTTCCATTTGATTAGGGCTTTCCGTTTTGAATTTTCATCAGATTTCAATATTTTTGTGATTTTACTTTTTTTGTTGATGTACTAACGACAATCATTTTGTCTACGATATTATAAAACCTATTATGTTGTTATTTTAAATCTCTCTGTGGTACATAAATCATAAGAAATACAATTGATACAATCGCTTTATATCGTAACTGACGTTTAAATGCACCAACCTCACAAGCAGCTTTTTATTTTACAAAGGATATTCAATATCTAAACTTCATGTTTTGTTACAACTGAATATATAATCTTGAATGTGGAGCCATTTCAGCACTTAACAATTCAATCCAAATGAAGGAAGTCATTTTCTACGTGATCATTTCTTTGTCATTTCAAGTCTCAAACGCTTCACATACCTGCAAGCAATTGAAATGAATGTCCCCTTTCTAAAACTATCATGTTGAATTTATTTTTACTTACTGCCAGTAACATATAGGACAGCATTTGTACTCTGACCTGTTCCTACACTGTTGGTAGCATAGCAAACATATGTTCCCTGGTCTGATAACTGTGCATTTGATATTGTAAGGGAGGGTGAGCTGACTGATGAGCCACTAAACCTTCCTCCAATATTCACATTGGTTGATGGACCACCAGATATATACTGCCAGTAAACGGTGGTGTGTTGTGGGTTAGCGGTCACGGTACATACCATGGTAACAGAACCACCAATGTTTATAGTATATGCTGCAGTAGGCGTTGTCACAACAGGTATATCTGATAAGAATACAAAATGATTAAGAAATAATTGATGCAAGATATACTTTATTGTAGTTTAAACATGGGTAGGCATTATTTTCGTGATTATTTTTGCCCGAGCGATAGTGAGTGCTAAAATACCACGAATATAATGCCTACCCATGTTAAAACTACAATAAAGTATAGCTTGCATGAATTATTTCGGTTCTGATTAGGACAATTAAGGTCATTTCTATATCCGATGTGTATTAGTGTAGAGCGTTTGTGTAGGCTCTTCCATGAACCCCCCTTTTTGTTTGTAAACAATCAGACGACTGGCAATGTGTTTTTTCAGAGGGAAGGGTTTTGAACAGCCAGCATGAACGTTGTCGTATCTAGGTCAAATATGTCAATTGCGAATTGTAACGCATTGTATTCATAATTTGACAACATGTGCATCATTTAAGAGTTTGAAAGTGTTTTAAGTTAATGAAATATATTAAATGCATGCCAATTTGATAAAATTCATTTTTCTGCAGTAGTCAAATTACGCATGTGCAAACAAATTATATTGGATTTCGAGCATGGGCTTATTTACAAAGCGAAAGAAGCACGTCATATTAGAATTTTATTTTCAGTATACTCGTTTCTGATAATCAAATTTGATATATGATTTATTATGCAGCCAGGTTCTGTCTTTTAACCAACGATACCCTCAATTATACAGTATTTATACCAGCATCGAGGTCAATTATGTTTTCGATTAAGTGTTGCCATAATTATTGTAAACCTACAACGTATTGTACGACGTCACCAGAGAACCGCTAGTTACGTAGTTACGTTTTCATTTATATTTTCATGCTTTTTTTGGAAATGCTGTAAATATGGTAACTTATTTTTATGTTGAAACAGATACGATGCTGAATCAGCAAATGTTGTTGCAATTGAGATGGTAGGGGTGATATTAAGTTGCATAAATATTTGATGATATTTTGCTTGTCTTATTTCGTGAAATTAGTTGATATTTCCAGTAATTGGCGTTCCAAATATCAATCATCATAGAAACATGGAAAGTGCGCTGTGAAAATTGTGCTTTAATGCAACTATATGTGGTTTCTCTCTCTATATATTTATATAATTATACATATGTGATATTGATGTTATTTCATATTGAATATACACTTACTGCCCAAGACATCAAGAAATATAGGAGAGCTGATTCCAGTTCCTATACTGTTGGTTACTTTACAAACATAATAGGCTTCGTCGGGCTCGTCAACGTTATTAATTATCAAAGATGGTAACTGTGTGGTAGAACCATCATATTTATCATTGGTTGTAAATATTACTGTGACCTGGTTGGCTACAGTCCTTTCCCAAATAACACTGGTAGCTTCTGGGTTTGCTGTATATATACATTGAATTGTAACTGATGATCCTATGTTTACTGTGTATCTAGATATTGGAACAGTGACAGTCGGGATACCTGAAAAAAACCAATGAACTTATGACATGCAAATCTAAATGTTTCACTTTTGCCTATTTAATATCTGATAAACTTATAATCATAAACCATCACACAAGAAATAAAAAGTTTATCATATGTTTTCACTTACTTCCAATAACATCCAAGAATATTTGTGGACTCTGCCTTGATCCAACACTGTTAGTAGCTGTACATATATAGAACCCCTCGTCTGACATAACAGTATTACTTATTACCAATGACGGTGAACCCACTGAACTGCCGCCGTAACGACCGCTGGACATGTCAATAGTCGTTGCTACATTATTGATGTAACGCTGCCATGTGACACTTATCGCTGTTGGATTGGCATTCACACTACATTGTAATGTGATTGAGTTTCCGACATTGACAGAGTAACTATTTGATAGTATGGTTACTACAGGAACGCCTAAAATAAATAGATAGACACACATTAGTTATATCAGGATCGAAAGGATAAACATATGTTAAAACAGATCAAATGGAAACACGTACTTCAATGAGGATCGAATAACTTTATTTCATCTAGTGTTTTTAACATGTTTTTGGGTCTTACCTCATAAGTTCGGAATGTAAAAGTAAATGCAAAAGTAAGGAGTTTAGACTTCTTTTACACGTGTCCATATATTTGGATTTTACAATGTAGTATGGAGCTGCGAGATATTTTAAACAATGTAAATTAAAGACCCAATTCCACAAAACAATCGAAAATGAAAGATATAAATACATCTGAATCATATTTGTGCATGAGCATAAATTCCACCAAAAAAACTCAACAGAAAGATTGTTGTGTAAATCATAAGATTACTTTCTGCCACAGGCATCAATTTTTGGGGGAAACAAACTTTTTATTTTTACAAATTGTGACTTTGATGGAGAGTTGTCACATTGGCACTCATGCCACATCTTCTTATATATAATAATATATCGATCAGAAACATAAATCTTTTTTACGTTGTGCCTTGTTTGAGCTGACTGTTTTGTCTTGAAAATGTTTAAAAATATTTGCTACATCATTTCGCTACAGGTTCCCTTATGTGTATATATTTAGGCTGCATGTTGATATAATTTAACTTTACATTACCAAGATATAAGGTATTCAGGAACACACCCGCAACATCGCGGGTCCGAGATTGAATTAAAGTACCTATATAGATATAGGAAGATGTGGTATGAGAACAACTCTCCATCCAAGTTACAATTTATAAAAGTAAACCATTATAGGTCAAGGTACGGCCTTCAACACGGAGCATTGGCTAACGCCGAACAGCAAGTGTTTTTTAGCTTGGATTTTTAGTATTCGTTTTGTCATTTGATAGTCATGATGCTAGTATGGTGCACATTTTTCTGTGCTTTTAAAATCTTACTGATTGAACCCGTTTAGGTTTTCCTGCTACACTATTCTCAGTTTAAATTAAATTTGAGTTTTTAATGGGTTTTTCAAAATTGATAGGGGTATTGTGGTGGAAAACTTGTTAAATAGTTTACTATAGTAGCACATAGATATAAAGCAACTTCTGCAATAATTCAAGGTTAATAAGATGTTTATAAATCGCCTAGTTAAGTACTTTAAATGTTTAATTGATACAAAAGTTTGAATATGTTTTAAACCTATCTTTGCAATATGTTTTGTCTAATATTGACATTATATTTCACTCCCCATTACGACTGAGCTTTACTTACTTCCCGATACATCCAGGAATATCTGTGAACTGGTACCTGTTCCGACACTATTCTGTGCACTACATGTGTAATATCCTTGATCAGCAATTACAGCATTGAGTAAAGTCAAAGATGGTGATGTCATAGTAGATCCTGAGTATTTACTCGTCTGAGAGAGATTGATATTTGTTGCTACTCCATTCACATCTTTTTGCCAATAAACTAAGGTATGAACAGGATTTGCTGATACGGTACAAACCATGGTAACGGACGAACCAACTGTTACACTATACTGTGACTTGGTAATGTTTACCACTGGTATTGCTTTCAATATAACCAGATAAATAATTGAATTATAAGTGAACTAATATGAAAGACAAGATGAAATAAATTACAAAATATATTCTACAAACCTTATTGTCCATGTATTCTAACTATATTATAAAACAAAAATTGGTCTAAGGCCTACGTCATGTCTCAAATAGACTTCCCATGCTCAACATCCAAATTAGCAGACGTCATAATAATGTTCTTTGTTTAGAATTACAAAAGTGAATCAACAGCCAATGTCTGGCTCCTCTTATTGAAGGCCCCTCTTGGGTAATATTATAGAACTCGTTAGATCCATTCAAAGCACAAAAATAACTAACAAACCTACTCTAAACACAAGGTAAAGGTCGAAGGGTTTTCGCATTTACTAAAAACTAGATCGACGCCAATAACAAATAATACAAATAAAAAAGCATGTGTCTGATAATAATATATCAATCTGAACACATCCAACATCCTATGAATATAGTGTAAAATAAGTTTACTGTGGACAATTATCCCACTATGAATACATTGTTTAGTACTATTTACCGCTGATTAGGAGAGAATCTAGTCGGACTTTGCTCGAATAATTCATGACGTTACATAAGGCATCTAACCTGAATAATGATAGGTTTTATTTCGAATATATCTTCAAATGATCATTATTTAGAATGTCTTTGACTTATTACCATATTGGTATTGTTGTATCAAATAAGCATTACCAACTTCTTCATTTGTACAGTGGTAAAGAAGGGGAATATCCATATACTTACTGCCTTGAACGTTTAAGAAGGTCTGGGTACTAGTTCCTGTTCCGACAGAGTTTGTTGCTTGACAAGTATAGTATCCCTCATCGCCCTCAACACAGTTAAAAATTGTCAAAGAAGGTGAAGTGACAGTAGAACCTGAATATTTAGTTGGATTGCTGGTAACGTTTATTGCAACAGGTGCATTATTTGTAATTCTATTCCATTGAACGCTAGAGGCTGACGGGGTGGCAAGTATAGTACAAGTCATGGTAATAGAGTTTCCAATAACAACAGTATAGCCTTGTCCGACTGTTACTGAGGGTACGTCTACAAAAGATTCAACATAATTACTGTATATAATAGGAACACATTTAAACGCGCTGTACCTCTGCTTTTTTGTGGTTTTGCTGTGCATATACTGATTTTGTGTCATTGTTTAAAACCGTTTGGCCCCTTGAATTCGAAAATATCTACTGTATAGCATCATTCTGTAATACCTCAGTCTGTATACTATAAACAATGTTGTCAAACAAATTGGCACTAAGGCTTCAAATTCACATATTTGTGCTAAAACAGCAAATACTGCCGACCTAGCCTCAACTTGAGAATTTGTTATTAATACTAAATTTGTAATTTACTTCAAATATGTTATATATATTTTGATCAAACACTATGCCAGAAATAGCCAAGTTATGTAAAAACCGTTAATAACGACAGTTTAGAAGAGGGGTGAAAGATACCAGAGGAACATCCAAAAACTCATAGATCGAAAATAAACTGACAACGCCAAGACTTAAAAAGAGAAAGACAAACAGTCAAATAATAGTACACAAGACACAACATAGAAAACTAAAGACTAAGTAACACGAACCCCACCAAAAACTGGGGGTGACCTGGGTTGATGACACCATAGTTACATGTAAATGCTATCTTTTTGTGCTAATTTGTACAGATTATACTTACCAGATCATCAATGAAATTGACACAATTTTCAATGGCTTGAGTAAGTAAATTTAACGATGTTTTCGCTTTTTTGTTTGTTCAATCAAAGTTGTCCATACAGTGTTTCGTAAACTGTTCTTTTGCTTTTCGTCTTTTGTCATGATTTTGTCAATATCTCTTCGATATATGAGTTTATTTTGTCCAGTTGTTATCAAACGTCTTTTTTTGTTTTCTCTTTATTGAAATTTATTTTCATTAAAATGCTATATAATACATGGTTATACAACGAGAATATCTATAAGTAAAAGAATAATAGCCATTGTCTCTTTTTATAACAAATAGCACAATTAATTATAGGAAAGCGATATCATCAGAATGTTAGTCGTTAATTGAAAACAAATCTTAAAATTAAGGCGGCTTATGCGCATCAGTGTAAGTTAAATACAAACTTACTGGCAACTACAGAAAGCTGCGTTTGTTGACTCTGTCCAGTTCCAACACAGTTTGTAGCGTAACATATGTAGGAGCCTATGTCATTACTTTCGGTATTCAAAATTGTTAAAGACGGGCGTCCAATTGTAGATCCAGAATATTTGTTTGCGTTAGTGGTAGAATTGATATTTGTCTGAACGCCATTTGTGATTTTTTGCCAATACACATTTTGTACTGCAGGAGTTCCGGAATAAGTACATACCAACTGTACTGACTGACCATGATTTACACTATATGATGACTGTGATACAGTAACTGTCAATATACCTGGAAAGCGAAAAAGCAAAATTTAGATAAATATTTATTCTACAACTCCATTGAGTGTAATACAATATTTCCCAACTAGAGTCGCTAAAATTTTCAAAAATAAAAACTCCAGGCTCACTGAGCATTCTAAACATTAAAATAAAAACTATCGACAGTGGCGAAATATCGTATTTTTCGAGATATAGTATGCATGGAATATATTTATGTATCATTGTCATTTTGCTTAGTTTCTTTTGTTACCTATTCTGACATCGGAATCGGACTACTTTTAAACTGAACCGTATTGCTATGTGTTTCTTTATACTACATTGGTTAGTGGTATAGGGGGAGGGTTGAGATTTCACAAAACATGTTTAACCCCGCCGCTTATTTGATTCTGTCCCATTGGTGGCCTTCGGCAGTTTTCTGCTCTTTGGTCGGGTTGTTGTCTATTTGACTTATTCCCAATTTCCATTCAAAATTTTATATTTAATGATCTGTCTAAACGATATGTAGACGTTTATTCCCCATTTTTTCAATAAATAAAAAAAAATGTGCTCTTGCTAGTTTGCCACGAATGATCTCAGTTCCTAAATAAATAAGTTAATATCAAAATGTTGAAAACATTTACAATGCGATAAAAAAAACCCAATATTTCTTGGCGCAAATACAAAATTTCAATCCTGGTATCTATGATGAGTTTATTTCGCTACACATAAGTGAAATTGGATACAAATAAGAATTGTATGAATTTCATTTAAGTTGAATTTTCATGCCTGATAAATATGTATATATGTACATATAATAGTAATAAAATATGTTCAAATGAACACACACACAACAAGCGGCAAAACACTATGGCATTACATATGTAACGGAAAACTTGCAAATCTATTCAATATTATGTGGAGAGAGCCCTAATTAGATATATTTTGTTTTATAAAATATTCATTATATAAGATAAAAGAAGCAAACATATACGTACTTCCGGTAACATCTACATATGTTTGTGCACTTTGACTTGTACCCACTGCATTTGCTGCGGTACATATGTAATACCCTTCGTCTGTGTCAACAGCATTCGATATAGTTAAAGAAGGCGTATTAGTACTTCCTCCTGAATATCTATTGTTTGATCCTATATTAGTTTGCTGTCCGCTAACTATCTTATTCCATGTCACGTTTGTATAAGATGGATTAGCTGTCACGGTGCACTGGAGCGTGATAGAAAGACAAATCTCCACTGAGTAATAGTTGGATAATATCTGTACGGAAGGAACAGCTGTGAAAGAATTAAGATAATGTATAAAACAGTTGTTTGTTGGTCGTTTTATTTTTTTTCCATAGCATTGTAAGTTTGTAATCGATTTATGATATGAGTTTAAATGTCCCTTTGGTATATTTCAACGCATTCATACGTAGGGAACAGCTGTAAAAAGATTTTTATGAAAACAATTCACTGAACCTTTCGTGTTTAAAAAACAAATTGTTTCTTTGCACTTATTAGTTATGAGGAATAAAAAAAATGTTTTGTTTCAATTTGCATGTGGTGGTAGTAGTAAATATTATATATTATTATACCTCAGTATGTTTTTTCTATATAAAAAAAGAATGAAATATTTGTGCTATTTCATTCTACAGAATATTTGCCAGTCAATAGTTTCAAAGACTATTACCCCGGTCAATAGTTTAATAAACATATTTCCCGTACTTTTTCATACTAATTTTTCATTGGACAACAAAGCTCGGCTTCACCTCGAGCAATAGTTGGTATCTCAGGGACAACAAACTTGCTTTTACCCTCATAACCAGTCAATAGGTGTATATTAATGTTAAGTATATTGCCATGCATTGTATTGGTATTTTATATATTCATATCATGTTATACATACTTCCTTGTACATCGAGGTAGGTCTGAGAACTTTGTCCAGTTCCTACACTGTTAGTAGCAAAACATATGTAGAATGCCTCGTCCGTATTGTCCACATCAGTGATAATCAAATTAGGGGAAGACACGGTACCACCCTGGTATCGCCCTGATATAACTACTGTTGATGGTAAACTATTCTGTATTTTCTGCCACGATATACTGGTTTCTGTTGGTGTAGCAACAGCATTGCATTCAATGGTTGCTGTATTTCCGTAGTTCACCGGGTAGTAGTCTGACCCTATAATTACTGTAGGGATACCTATGGAATAGTTGTTTTATACTTTAATATTACAGTCATAATAAACATAGGACAAATAAATTGAGTTTGTATCAGTTATTTTAGATTTAGGTCACTTAACCGTGGCTAAGGATAAAGGAATTGTGCTATAATCTTGTTTTTTTAGAAAAGTTTACTAGAGCCACTAAACCTAGAATCATATAATGTTTTTGTCAAAGTAAAAGCTCATAATGTGTTTATGTGATGAACCATTTATATATCGATTATAATGAGAAGAAAACTATGCGTTTGTGTGCAATGTAATTTTATTTTGTTTTTATTCTAAGCGATTCTTTTCTTTTCTTTAATGAATTACTTACTTCCGATGACATCTAAAAAACATTGAGAACTTTGACCATTTCCAACACTATTCGTTGCAACACAAACATAATAGCCTTCATCGTCAAGAGTGACATTAGATATTGTAAGAGTTGGACTGTTTACTGCAGCGCCGGAGAACCTCCCAGATATTGTAACCGTTGTCGTTACTCCATTTATATTTTTCTGCCACGTGACAGAGGTATGAGGTGGGTTGGCTTGTATATTGGACACGAGATTGATGCTACCTCCGATGTTGACAGAGTACACACTTTCTTGAACTGTCACTATTGGTATATCTGGTAAAAGTAAAAACAATAGTATTTATCAAATAATCCATTGCCGTGTAGGGGGTTGGATAATGTACCCATTTGGTCAGAAAAGTGAAGTATAACATATTCTGGTGATTTCTCTGCTTATGTTGTTTACGCAAATGTGAAACTAAATGATCTTTATCAAATATTATGGGATTTGATGCTCGAAATATAGAATTGATCAAAATGTTATATCAATTTACATAACACAAAAGCTGTTGTTTATGCAAGCAAATGAGTGTGGTCAATTATGTTGGTACTTGCATAACTGCATTGAAATAGACGTAAATGAATACTTGAATAATTATTACACCAGGGTTTTCGATATCATTAACTAGTCAAAACATTTACTAAATTTTATCATCGGTATAAGGACATCATTCGTAAATATAACTCAACATGCAGACATCTTATACGTTCGGGTATTTCACATCCAATCTTTTATGGTAATATACTTTACAAAGCACAAAAATGTCAGTATTAACCTAAAAAGGTAACAAAACCTTTAAACAGACTTATTAAGAAGGGATATAGTTACGATACTGTTGTCAGGTCATTTAAGATTGCTTATTTTGGCTTTAATATTGATTCACTTATAGGGTCTTTACATCGGAATTAAACACATTTATTTTAAAACCAGTTGTTGGCATGACACGGGTTATGTTCTTCTCATATATTTTATGACGGTATAATACTAAACCCCTAACAGGAGGGATTATGCCTGATACTCATATGATGAAGACATAATCTTTCAATCAGTTTAATTGAGGTCTGGAGCTGGCATGTCAGTAACTGCTAGTAGTCTGTTGTTATTTATGTATTATTGTCATTTTGTTTATTTTCATTTGTTTCCCATTCTGACATCGGACTCGGACTTCTCTTATACTGAGTTTTACTGTGCGTACTGTTGTGCGTTTGTTTTTTCTACATTAGCTAGAGGTATAGGGGGAGGGTTGAGATCTCAAAAAACATGTTTAACCCCGCCGCATTTTTGCGCCTGTCCCAAGTCAGGAGCCTCTGGCCTTTGTTAGTCTTGTATCGTTTTTAATTTTAGTTTCCTGTGTATAATTTGGAGTTTAGTATGACGTCCATTATCACTGAACTAGTATACATATTTGTTAAGGGGTCAGCTGAAGGACGCCTCCGGGTGCGAGAGTTTCTCGCTGCATATAAAGACCCATTGGTGGACTTCGGCTGTTGTCTGCTCTATGGTCGGGTTGTTGTCTCTTTGACACATTCCCCATTTCCATTCTCAATTTTATTGAATCAAATGTTGATATTTCAGTAAAAGTAAGGCATAATAAGTCTCTTTCATCACTTTGTTTGCATAAATTTAAAACTTAATTTGCAGTTTTAATTGATGTGGTATTTGATAATATACAATAAACTTTTAAGATATACGAGAATTAAAATTCTATACGGTAGATGCGTACAACCAACAACACTGCAGAGCAATTCAAAAGGCAAAACTTTAAGAGCATTGTTGATCCAAATCTCCGAAAGGTTTTGCCAAATTCAGCTTAAGTTATGTTTTTCTGGTCATATATACATATTTATATACATATTATTTTTAAAATCATGTTTTCTTAAGATTAAAAAATTTTGAATTATTGCACTGAAAACTGTGCAAATATTAAGGGAAAATCTGTTTTTAAAATTGACATCCGTAAACAACTTACTTCCAATGACGTTGAGATAAGTCTGCTGACTGTTACCAGTTCCAATGCTATTAGTAGCATAACATATATAGTTTCCTTCATCCGATGACTGAGCGTTAGTAATAACGAGTGACGGACTAGAGACTGTAGAACCACTGTATCGTGAGTTGGAGGAGGTTGTATCAATACTTTGTTGTAGATTGTTAACAATACGTTGCCAGTATACATTAGTGGCAGCAGGGGAGGCCACAACAGTACAACCAAGAGTCGCAGTCGCACCAATGTTAGCGTTGTAATTTGATAAAGTTACAGTAACTGTTGGTAAATCTACAAAAGAAATTTTGTTCACTTAATTATTTTTCACAACATTCATATATAGTTCTGTAAATTAAATTATTTTATGCGTTACAACTATCAAACATTATTACAAGTTAAGCAATATCAGAGTCTATCAGTTAAGTATTGTTTAACAAATTCAATTATTATAGGACTATAAATTTTCTGTTTTCTCATTGCTAAAAGAATGGGAAATCCTCTTTGTTAAATCATTATATTCACCGCGGAAAAAAGCACGAGAGGTTAATATAAGAGTTAGGACAGCGTCCGTGTACTTACATATAGATATTCCAAGACAACTTCTTTAAATTCGGTTTTATGACGTTATGTAAATTTCCGTTTTTCTTTTTCTTCTTGTTTTAGATGTGTTTTTTTCTTTTTCTTGTTTTCGGTGAATTTTTTCCTTTCTAAACTTTATTGAATCTATCAACTGATGAAAATTGATAACTGCAAAAGCAGATAATATATTTAGTATTAAATCAAGGAGCAGTTTTAAAAGTATAATCTTCTTCAAATACTAAACAACTTGAGAATGATAAAAGAGTCATATAATAAAACGATTGTTAACTTTTTTTCAGTTGATACAATGATTTATCAATCCAACAGATATGAAATTCTTCTCGGCCGTTGGCCTCGATGGATATCATATCTCGGGGGTTGATAAATCATTGAATCAACCTTATCAATAGTCAATAATTGTATAATAATTCATGTATTTTTCTTTCTTAATTACCATTCATTTATAATCGAAATTGTAATGAGAGTGCCATTTAATTATTTCTAAAAATAAATAATAATATGATTCTGTTAGTTGTATTATTTTATGTCTCAAAAATTTATTAGCTGAATTAATCTTACTTGTTTCTAATTATATTAAGAAACAACAGATTGTATTGGAAAAGCAGTATTTCCTAATTTTTTGACAGACAAAGACCTTGATACTTTCAAACTTTCTCAGTAGCTGGTTTCTTTCGTTTATATCAGAACACACTTACTTCCTGTAACAGCCAAATAGGTCTGAGATGAGGTTCCGGTTCCGACAACGTTAGTTGCTGTGCAGACATAGTAACCAATATCACTCTGAGCAGCACTGTTGATAATCAGATTAGGACTGCTGACAGTTGGCGTGTTATATTTCCCAGCATTGGTAGAGAGAGAAGTTTGTACTCCATTTATAACTTTATACCACCGTACACTTGTGGCATTTGGGTTAGCGGATATTGTACAGACAAGAGTAACTGTCTGTCCGAGAAGTACAGTGTACCTATTGGACTGAATAGCAATTTCAGGTGGACCTGCAAAACAATGTATAAGAGAGGCATCATCAAAGTAATCCTTTGTCAATTTAAGAAACACATTTAAATATTGATTTATGTCTTCAGATATATGATCACATCATGACTAAGTACCTATTGCCTACATTTTACATACAATAAAAATAAAACAAGGAAACTAAAAAATAAGTAGTTGCGCTAGAAATGTTTTTTTACAGAAGTTTATATATATATTTTTTCCGAAAATACAAATATCACAGTTTTATATGATAATGATATGTTAACTTTATGATTAAAGAAATTAGAAAAAATGAAGGCAACTTTTCTTTCTTTCTCTAAAACCTTTTAAACCAGGAACTTCACCAACAGTTTCTAGGTGGTTATTGAATATGACTACAATTGGATTTCAAAATCACAGATTTGAAAAATAAAGCTCACAGTACGAGAGCAATTGGACCTTCATGGACCTCATTCAATGGTGCTGGTATGAAGAGTATTTTAGAGTCAGCTGACTGGTCTACAGATACAACTTTCATCATTTTTTTTAGAGAAATGTGGATGTTAAGATTCTATTCTAATGTAATGTGTATATAACAGATTGTTTTTAAACTCTTCAGAAAGACTAGTATTTGTTGTTATATGCAGTTCAAATAAATAAAAGAGACAAAATAAAAAAGGCTTTGGAAAGACCGTATAGAGTGCAGAATGATATTTTTTTAAATGGTATAATGTAAAAAGAATATACCAGGATATAGAGATGCAGAGCCACAGTAAATAACCCTGCAACTAGTGAGGTAAGGGTCTGTAATTTATCCGTTTGTATGTTTCTCAGGAGTTCAATAAAAAAATTATGAAATAAAATTCTAAATTTGGTTTCAAATTCAGATTTTATGAATGACGTTTTCTACTTACCACCCGTTAATTACCCAACCTACCTCTCCACTTGAAGTGTTCTATAGTAGTAATAATGTTATACCATTTTTTCTAAAAATGTCCTGTTACAAGTCAGGAAAATGGCCATTGTTATATTATAGTTCGTTTCTGTGTGTGTTACATTTTAATGTTGTGTTTCTGTTGTGTCGTAGTTCTCCTCTTATATTTGATGTGTTTCCCTCAGTTTTAGTTTGTAACCCGGATTTGTTTTTTTCTCAATCGATTTATGAATTTCGAACAGCGGTATACTACTGTTGCCTTTATTTACAAAAAATAGAACAAAATAAAACTGTGGGTACAGGTTAAGTAAATCATGTACATGTAGGTGATGTAGTTCCGGTTGGAAGTGTCTCCGTCATCTATATGTTTTATATGACTGCAAAGTGTGCACTGGTAAAGAAAGTAATATCCAGATAAATGAATAGATGAAAATAACTTTATACATACTTCCGATAACATCTACATAGGTCTGTTGACTCTGTCCAGTTCCAACTGTATTTGTTGCATAACAAATATAATAAGTTTCATCATTTTGATCCACGTTATTGATAGTAAGAGTTGGATTACTGACGATAGAACCGCTAAATTTAGCTGTGTTTGTCATAGAAATGGTCACTGGCAGTCCGTTCTGGATTCTAGTCCAGTAAACCTGTGTGTGGATGGGTGTGGCACTTACACTGCATACTAGCTGCACAGCCTGTCCGTAATTACCAAGGTAAATAGGTTGTCCAACAGTCACTGTTGGTATATCTGTATCAAAGAAAACAATAAATTATATATGTACATCAAAATGTAAAAAAGAACTTTGAATATTGTGTTACTACTTCAAATAATACTAAATAATGTCATTACGGCGACTTATTGATGTTTACTTCTACTTCATAAGGTCACTGATGAAGAGTTGTGTTTTTTTTAAATCCTACCAAATCTGCTTATTTGTATATAAAACAAACCTTCCTTAGACGGGTTCCACATGTTGGGAAGGATCTGCTTACAATTCCGGGACACACGAGATGCCCCCAATTGATGATAGGGTTTGCGATGCTCAGTCTAAAGTTTTCCATGTGTAGAGCTGTTTGGTAATTAACTTACGTGTTTGATTGCCGCATTTTATTGAACGTTACCTTAATAAACAATCAATACAGAATCGTGGAACACGTGAAAACTAAGACGTACAGTAGAGTTATTTTTTCTTTCTTTATTTTGTTTATGTGTTTCTAATTTTTTTTTATCAAAGTTTGTCATAACAGTTGTTAAATGTTTGGTGTATTAAATCTTTTTTTAGAACCTATTAACAGTTCCTAACAATGCAGTTGTCACAGTGATAAGGAGATGATTCATGGTTGCTGCAAAAAATTATCGGCGAATAAGACAATAATCTTAACGCTGTACATTTTTGAAGATATGATAAATAGTTTTCTTTCACACGAAAGACCCTGTAAATGCGGTTTATAGTAACTCTTCGGCGTTCAAATACATATATGCATATTTAACTTTTAAAAAACATTTAGCATCTTTACGACCTTTAAAGTTAAGCATCCATCTTTAACCGTTAACTTAAAAAGGCTGTACTTACTTCCCACAACATTAAGTGTGGTCGGATTACTCTGTCCGGTACCAACATTGTTTGTTGCATGACATCTATAAACACCAGAGTCACTCTGAGTCGTACTGAGAATGATCAGTGAAGGTGAGTTTATAGAAGATCCTTGATATTTCTGGGTATTCGTCATGGATATGGTCTGTTCTGCGTTGCTGCCGACTGTTACGGTCCAGTAGATATTGGTCTCTAAGGGATTGGCTGACACAGTACAAGGAATAGTAATTTGACTATCAACATTTACACTGTATGTACTCCGAGGTATACTTACTGTGGGTATATCTATAAAACATAAATATGTGTTTGCATTAGTATAGTTTAATAGTCCAATGACCTTATGACATGTCCCTAGTTGAAAACAACATTGCACGACAGTGACAAGAGCACAATAGTTACGATTGACAAGCTAGTTTTTCATATTAAAAAATACATCCTAGTCTAAATTTGGGGAAAGGATTGAATGAGAAATTTACGTTTTTGTACAACAAAGCCTTACTGTAAGTGCAACAAAAATGCATGCAATATACGTTAGAAAGGTATAGCCCATTTTCAGAACTGGAGATCAACATTCATTGTATTAACTACTGCCTATATGTACATGGTGTGTTCCTCTGTTTAGCACATAACTTGCAAGTAATTATTAATATATTAACTGTGTCTATCATGTGTTGTATTTTGCTTTCACGTTTGTCAGTTTTATAGAGATTTTAAGGTTTATAAATTTATCTGAAGGAACGCACTAAGGATTTCAAGCAATATAATACATTTTGTGAATTTATAAGAAAAATATTTCTCAAAATCTCTATTTATAACGTCACATACTGCCTACAACATCCAAAAACGTCTGACTACTGGAAGCTGTTCCGGCTGAGTTTGTAGCAGAACAGACGTAATTCCCTTGATCCGCCTCTGTAGTACTAATGATAGTTAGAGAAGGAGATTGTACTGTAGATCCACTGTACTTGTTAAAGTTATTTGTACTCATATCAACTGTTATAAGAACACCATTCACAAGTTTTTGCCAATAAACGTTTGTTGCCGATGGATTGGCAATAACTTGACAACCAAGGACTACTATGCCTCCAAAAATTACTGAAAAGGTGTTGGACAAAACTTGTACAGATGGAACGTCTGAAAAACAATACGGTCTATTAATCGTTTGCTTTATAGACATTTTAACATCGAATTTGATATAAAGGATACCACAGATGCAGTTAGGTAAGCCTCATATTTTAATTTTCATCTAGAAAAATATACGTAAACGGGCGGTTGAAAACAAAACTCAACGACAAAGGGATGAAGGCAGTTTATAAAATGTGAACTTTCCATATCTATAGAGCACAATTCACGTCTGCATATGGAGTAACTATCTACCATGATTTCCTTGAAAGTGGATTTAACGAAACGTTACAAGTGCTCATGTTGAAGACATCCATCCGATAGTTATACGGACACTCTAACAAGATGACAAATGACCACGTGTATTGCTTATATATATAGAAATAAAGACAATTAAAAATATTTGATAAATCGACGAAAAGCGGTCCCGGTAACAAGTTAACGTATTGTTGAGCAGACCAGCCAAAATTAGCTTGAGATTATGTCTGGTTCGATCGGATAGAATTAAAGTTAACTTATTGGAAGACTGGTTTCGAAGTAAACTTATAATAGTAGGGGACCTGTATCAAAGTAAACATTTTCAGCAGTCCTATATACAGTCCTACGACCAAGTCTGTTTTTCAAGTTAATTTGATTGTGGTACTAGGACTGGTCAGTGCAGTCTTAATTCCTGTCGCAGGTTTACTTTGACTAGTCACAATATCTGGTAAGCAAGTTAGATTGCTGTACAGGTTAGGACTGCACCCATTTGTATGATAGAGAAAAGTGTACTCTCCGTATGTGTTATTTGTTAAGATTAGTGCCGATGCTAAATATTTGACCATTGAGTTCTTTCATAATTTCCTCCATAAAGCGCTATGTAAAACTTGCCATATAATTGATTGATTGATTGGTGATTGCTTTACGCCGCATTAGCAGCCATATACATCGATTAGACACGAATCAATTTAATGCTGGCCTTATTTTGTTTATAGAACTGAAGCCGTTTGAAGCTGGGCATATAGATTAAACAGTTTGCTACTGTTAAAGGCCGTATAGTAACCTTAATATGTGTATTTCTAGTTTGTTTAGGATTGTCGCATATACCATTTCGTCTGATTCGGGAATAAATGAGTAAATGAGAAAAAAAAAGACTTCACATATATGATTTCAGAAATTAAGAAAAAAAAAACAAAAATAACTCAATTAAAAAAGATAGAATTGGAACTATGACAAATGTGCAAATACTTGTTAGTTTGAATGTTACTTTGATATCGTTTGACTCTGTTCTTTAAAAAAGTATAAGCATAGATGTTTACATTAATTCAACAAAATTTTACTTTCTTACCTCCAATCACATCTAAAAATGTTTGTTTACTATATCCAGTACCCACACTATTCTGTGCAGAACATTGATAGTGTCCTTTATCAGATAACTCCAAGGCAGCGATGGTTAGTGAGGGTGAAATTACAGTCGAACCTGTATACCGCACATTGTTCATATTTATTCTTGTTGCATTTCCATTTACAATTTTTCTCCAGTTAACACTTGTCACCATTGGATTAGCTTGTACTGTACATATCAGTGTTACAGTTTGCCTGTAGTTAACAGAATATTGATTCTGAGCGACTGTGACTGTAGGAATATCTAAAAAATACTGTTTCTATTAATCACCTTTGGTAAAGATTTTAAAAGTAACAAACTTATTAATTGGAAAAGGGGAGAATTTGCATTGAAAAAAAAGAAAGAAACACAACTGATTCTCGCAACCACCAAACACTTACAACATATAACATGTGCTAGAAGTAGACAAACGTCTAATTAGCAAATAGTAAAATAACAAAGATACCCAACTCCAAGGAAAATTTTAAAAGGAAAGTCCCTAAGCAAATGGCAAAATCAAAAGCTCAAACACATCAAACGAATGGATACAAGCTGTCATATTCCTGACGTGGTACAGGCATTTTGTGAACTAGAAAATGGTGGATTAAAGCAGGTGTTATAGCTAGCTGAACTTCTCATTCGTAAGACAGTCGCATACAATTCCAATATATTGACAACTATGTCTGAACAAAACAAACAGACACTATTTAGTCTCTGATGCATGATTGTTTATTATTAATTGTTTTTTGGATTTTATTTGGTTTTCAGTAAATGAGAGTGCTCTCAAATCGTACTTGCGTGTTAATTTGGCCTGTTGATACAATTTTTAATGCATTTTTGTTATTTACTGTTTACTTATTTTATATATCTCGTCTCACTATTTTTAATATTTTCCACCTTTGATAAGTGTTTGGTATGACGATAAATTTCACTTCTGTATGAACAACAAAATTATTTATTTTGTGTTATATATTTCCGTACTCTATAGTATATCTTACCATGTATGTACTGGTAAATTCTTCCGCTATCTGAAGACCACACCCCCCCCCCCCCCCCCCCCCTTTGAGAGCTGCGAGGGCACAGTGGTATCCATGTACAATCCACATCGGGATCAAGGAAGATGCGTCAATAACGTATTAAAGACACTTTTTACAAGGACAACCCCAACTCAAAGGCATTGCTTGGACACCAGGAAGTCTGTTATTATGGTGAAGGAAGCCGAAGAACTCGAAGAGAACCACTGGGCCACTCGGTGGAAACAGACAAATCGGAGAGAAATCAGAAAATTGATTTACAGGTCAAAGTAGGGAAAACATTGACAACCGAGGCCCCCATAGTACCGTCTAGGTACCAGATCAGTGTATGGGAGGGTGAACATTTCCAGCGCCCCGAGTCACGGAAAAAAACACAACCAAAGAAAACATGTAAATCAACATAATTGTGTGTGGGTTCGTGGTCTAGTGGTTAAGACCGATAGCTACAGTGCTGAAAGTCCCGTGTTCGATCTTGACTTGGGGCGCTGGAAATTTCAGTACTCGTATTCGTTAGTATTATATTCAAATTATAACAACAAACATTTGAATGACATACAGAATACGCCTTTTTACAATTTCAGTTTCCTAAACTATTTATTTCATTTAACCCTAATCTTATTGTTAAAGCTAATTTTTAAATAAAATATATTTTTCTCTTATTTTCATTAATAAATAATGTTAGTAAGTTCAATACTTCAAAGCAATTCAACTGAGTTTACACAGTTGATATTATATAGATCCATAGAAGAGGAATGGTACTCGATGGATACAATTCGTTTTACAACGCTTGGATACTAAAGAAATTCAGCTAAAATTTTCATCGGAAAAAAACTGCGAATATTTCATCAGCAGTTTTAGTAAGTTTTTACCTTCATTCAATATTGCATTACATCTTTTAGATTTGTCAACATGGGTGAACGCTTTTGAAAAAAGTACATATGGAAATATCCATTCAACAAAACCTCAAAATGAATGAAATGAAGATGAATAATGGAGACTAAATCTCTATTCTTGTCAAATAATGCTGAGTTTGAAAAAAAACAACTTACGTCACAGATGTATTTTAATACCTGACCAAACCTCAATCTAAAGCATGAACAATTTAATTACAAAACTTTAATCAATGAATATAAACATGCCGTAAAAATTAAGCAAAATACCTGAAATATTGGTACATAAAAAGCTTACCTCCTGTGACGTCTAAGAATGTCTGTTGACTGGATCCGTTTCCAACAACATTGGTTGCAGTACAGATATAGTTCCCTTCGTCACCAGATACAGCATTACTGATTATGAGAGATGGTGAACTGACAGTGCTACCATATATTCTGGACCCATCAACTGTTACTGTAGTGAGTACACCGATAACTCTTCTTTGCCACGTGACAGAGGTATGAGCTGGGTTAGAGGAAACTGTACATTGCAATGTTACTGTACCGCTTAGTAAAACCGAATAAGTGTTGACAGATATTATAACCACAGGAATATCTGCCAAATAAAAGGTATCATACTGTTTCAGAAGGGCTGCAAATACTATACATATCTTTTTCAAATATTTGTCAAACATGTATAAAAAGTACTAAAACCGTTTAAAAATACAAAATTGACGCCAAAGAAAATTTTGGAATAATACTTCTCAATTCGAAATTCGATAGTTACATATTTCAAAAATAAAACAGTTATCTAAGACACAAAGACACAAATAATTATAGTATTGCAATGATAAAATATTGGTAATTTACCCCCAGACACATCTAGGAACGTCTGTGTACTTTGTCCAGTTCCAACAATATTTGAAGAAAAGCAAACATAATATGCTTCATCGTTAAAATCAGTGTTATTTATTTGTAGAGACGGGTTACTGACTGTAGAACCACTGTACTTGTTGTTACTGTTAGCTACATATATATCTGAAGTAACGCCATCCTTTATCTTTCGCCAGTAAACGATTGTATGAGCTGGATTTGCTGTGACTGAACATACAAGAACAGCAGTAATACCATAGTTGACATTATATATCCTTTGTTGTATTGTAACAGTTGGTTTCTCTGAAATCGTCAAAATAAATTCATATTTTAACTAACCGCAGTTTTAAAGATCTACATTTCTTATAAGATATGGAAGAAATACGGTTATGTACGGTTTTTGATTTGTAGTGCTAGTTAAACAGTCCTCTCATGATATATTGATAACTTGATTTTTAAAAGGTGTATTTGAAAATATTATTCTCATTGAAAGCCCAATAGTTACTTTACTATTACAAAAAAAAACCAACTACTAGTTAATAAAATAAATCTGCATTCATTTTAAATGCTTATGTACACTAACGCAGTCTCCATTACTTACTGCCGATCACATTTAATGAGATATCTGTACTCTGTCCAAATCCAACACAATTTATGGCATAACATGTATAGTTTGCTTCATCGGTTGATGCAGCATTGATAATAGTCAGAGATGGAGTAGAAATCGTGGAACCGGAATATTTCCCGCCACTATTGGTGACATCAATATCTGTTGTTGTTCCATCCAAAGTCTTTTTCCAGTAAACTCGTATAACAGCAGGTTTCGAAACAACGGAACATATAAGAATTATCGAGCTAAAATAATTTACATTGTAGCTTGGAAAGTTAACATGTACTGTTGGGATCTCTAGAAAAAAAAATATATTATAGGAACTGTTATTATTTGATGTGAAATGTAGTCTGCGAATTTTAAATTGTAATATATATACAACTCGTCTAAACATCAGCCCAACATTGTTAGATCTGTAAATTTGCTTTCATGTATCACCATCACTGCTGGTGATCCGATGGATCTGATCTGTAACAATTCCATCTTCATGCCTTATACATGTATATCATGTACTGTATTACGACGCTAGATTAAAACTGACGAGGAAAGGTAACACCCGGCCACCGAAAGCTTTATTTTTGTGAAGCCTAGGTGGTCGAGTGGTCTAGCGCGTCGGATACAGTGCAGGCGATTTGGTGTCACGATATCTCAGTTGCATGAGTTCGAATCCTGGCGAGGGAAGAACAAAATATTTGCGATAGCAAATTTACAGATCTAACACTTGTTGGGCTGATGTTTAGACGAGTTATATATATATATATATATATATAAACAATGAATTGTCATCATCTATACAAAAAGGTTCGATGAAACATAAAAATCAACTACTTTATTAACCAATAAAAAAGTAGTCATGGTCTAGATAACCGTATAATGACTTTATTTCAACAAGAGAAAAAATTGAAAGTTCCAGTTCCAATAAAAAAGACGTGACAAGAAATAATCTTACCTGCTTGTACATCAAGTGATGTCTCCTGACTTGAACCAGTTCCTATAGAATTTGTGGCGAAGCACTGGTAGTTTCCTTCGTCACTGAAGTTAGCGTTAAATATAGTTAGAGATGGTGTGACGGTAGTAGATCCACCGTATTTACTAGGATTGTATGAGGGCCCTATATTGGTTATCTGTCCGGTCACATTTCTGGTCCAATACACACTAGTAACAACAGGAATGGCGGTAACAGTACATTCTATTGTTATGGAATTGCATATTTGAACGTGAAAACTAAATCCTGCAATTGTCACATTTGGAACGCCTGGCAATAAAAGAGATTTTTTTCTATAAGAATTAAGTGGACATTACATTTAAATGTAAATAGATCGATTATTGGTCTTCTAACCAAAACATATTGGATAGAACAAAAGACATATTATCGGTTAATACTAAATAACACATTAAAAAAGATATACAAGAAAGAATTTTTATTTCGAGATCCATGAATAACTTTGTGAAATGTATCATTAATGTACTATTAATTTTTAATTTACCTACCTCCAATAACGTTTAAAGATGAATTTTGACTGTTAGATGTACCAACAATGTTTGTAGCATAGCATACGTATGTTCCTTCATCGGAATTCTCTGTGTTGGTTATTGTCAATGATGGAGTTGAGGTGGAACCTCCAGTATATCTACTGTTACCATTTATAACTACGTTAGTTGGAACACCATTGACCACCTGTCTCCAGAACACGTTAGTCTGAGTGGGAGTTCCGGTAACAATGCAAGGTATAGTTATCATTTGACCATTTAAAACACTGTAGGATGACTGTGGAATGGTAACAGTAAGTATATCTAAAAAAAAGCATACATAATTATTAACATACTTCGATAGCTACAATGATTTTTTTTATTATAGTTGGAAAGAGCGTGATCGACATGATGCAATAACAAATAGTTGACAAAAGACACAAATATCGATCTAAGAGTACGCGTAGTAAATTTAGATTAGTTCAACCAAAAAGAAATAATATAGAATATTTATTAAATCAAATCTTAGGGCTCGTTTCCGAGCATATACATATAGATTCTACCACTGCATCGAGTGTGATACGATATTTATCCACTCGAGACAGTTAAATTTTCAAATTTAAAACGCGAGGCTCGCCGAGCGTTTTAAATATTTAAAATTTAACTGTCGAGAGTGGATAAATATCATATTACACGAGATTTGGTGGTGGAATCTGTTTCACTAATGATTTTCAAACAATATGCAGGCAAACTTATTCCGTCTTTTCGAATGATCTGTAAAAAGATGTGTTCTTTCTATGTGACGTCATCAGACATGGTCGCCTTTTTTCATGCCGTCACAATAGGAAATTCAGAGGAAAGCAAGTAAATTTGACGTTATAATCGGATTTTAACCAATGATGAACTGAGTTCAAACGAACCACACATTGATTACATTTTTTTTATACAATGGGTGCAGAAAGGGATAAATTGACGAAGAATTAGAGAAATATATATATATAAATAACATTTTCCAAAAGACCAAAAAGTGAATGTATATTTTAACAAAACGCATTCTGTTTGTTATTGAATTAATAATCAAGATCTATGTTACATCTGGTGATCAATTGATTTGGCAATCGCCAATGGCAGTCAGCAGGGTTTAAGAACATCAGTTGTTCGACCTGTTAGTCAAATGCGTTTTGTTAAAATTTATACTTTTCACTTTTTGGTCTTTTGGAATATATATATATATATATATGAACAAGTCTTAATTGAAACAACGTTCAAACCTATGATTGCGTTGGATAAAAACCGCAATTTTTATACGTGTGCATGTAAAATAAATTTCTTGGTAGAGGGGTCTAAATACAGCACAAACAACATTTTCCAAAAGACCAAATGAGTGAAAAAGAATATTTTAACAAAACGCATTTGACTAGCAGGTCGAACAACTGATGTTCTTAAACCCTGTTGACTGCCATTGGCGATTGCCAAATAAACGGATCACAAGATTAACAAAATAAATCTTATTATTAATTCATTACCAAACAGAAAACAATAAACTTGCGGAGATGGTATACCGCAAACATGAGGTGCAAACATTTGTACACCATATCAAAATTTCGACAATTTATGTCTCTTCAGTGATGATTGGAATCGAAACGGTATTTGGAAGGCCATATAATTTACCTCAATTTAGGATAGACTCTTGAATTTTGAAAGAGTCAAAATAGGATGAACGGATTATATAAACCCGAAGGCAAATATAATACAAGCCCAAACGAAAAAATATAAACAAGTCTAAATTGAAAACAACGTTCAAACCAATGATTGCGTTGGATAAAAACCGCATTTTTTATACGTGTGCATGCAAAACAAATTTCATGGTAGAGGGGTCTAAATACAGCACAAACAACATTTTCCAAAAGACCAAATGAGTGAAAGAGTATATTTTAACAAAATGCATTTGACTAGCAGGTCGAACAACTAATGTTCTTAAACCCTTCTGACTGCCATTGTCGATCGCCAAATAAACGGATCACAAGTATAACAAAATAGATCTTATCATTAATTTATTACCAAACAGAAAACAATAAACTTGCGGAAAAGATGGTATACCGCAAACATGAGGTGCAAAAATATGTACACCATATCCGGATTTCGACAATTTATGTATCTTCAGTGATGTTAGGAATCGAAACGGTATTTGGAAAGCCATACAATTTACCTTAATTTAGAATAGACTCTTGAATTTTAACTTTTTCAACGTCAAAAGTGTCTATATCAACTTCAATACATTTTAAAATATATACAATATTAGAATACCAAGATGACTTATTACATGTCTGATTGTCAATACTTGTGAAAAGGGCTTGTTTTAACAAATGATCCTTTTCTAAACCATTAATTCTTTGCAAAAACTTAAGAATGAAAACAAATAATGTCAATATGCAATGGAGTACGACCTAACTCTCCCATAACAGCTAAATTACATGACTTTTAATTTACCCCGAGAACGATTTGTAGAACTTTAAACCTAAGTTCTTGCAATCAAACTTACTAATTTTTTTCTCAATATCAAAGGGGTTGTTTGTTTGTCATTTTGAAAAATTATATATATTATTAAGAATATATATTAAGAATCAAATATCAGTCAAAATGCATCCAGTGAGTTTACTAGAAAGATTCTGAATATGCATCCCGTATCTGCCGATGGACGTTGCACAACCTCTTCAATCATCATATAATAATATCTTTATATATAATATCATCACAAATAAATCAAAATTAATCTGGTTCATGTCATCTGAGGATAATGTTATCATTAAAAAAGTAAGTTTATTATTGTGGACTTTATAAAAAGAGAGAAATTTAATTCTCTGTAAAATATAGATACAGCTTAGTCACCGGTAAGTTTTCCATCTATATTATATTATACAACTATATATATTATATCTGTAGAAATTTGTTCTGCAAAGAAAGAATTGATTTTGTTTAATTGTTATAATAATCAATGTAATCAACATGTAATCACGTGAATGAAATTGTACTGCTCACATTATTGGGCGTCATAATTGACAATAAAAGACTTTGTATTGTATTCATTGTTTATTTATGTAATTGACAGTGTGAGAAAATCACGACTTTGAGCCTTTCAAATATGCACTTTTGTTGTTTTAATAATCACTTATACAAGGCAAATTTCATCAATGGTCCATTACTTTTTCAAACAAACTGCCATTCTTATTATGCCTCTACATTACTTACTCCCCGTGACGCTGAGTCTTATTATATTACTCTTTCCGGCGCCTACAGTGTTCGTAGCTGTACATGTATAGGTCCCAACATCAGTTGAAGACAGATTAAATATGGTTAGAGACGGTGTGGTAGTTGATATTCCATTATATTTCGTTGTATTGGTTAACTGTGTAATGTTATTTGAAGATACACCATTATTGAAAATCCACGACACAAACTGAAGAGTGCTTTCTGGTGAGGAAACTGTACATTGTAAAGTAACAGACTGTCCCGTGGTTCCCGAGTAGATTGACTGGTTAACTGTTACTACTGGTATGGACCCTTTAATAAATAGATAGCAAACAATATTAATAAGACAAAGGAAAAAAAGGAAAGGGAATGTTTTGGTATAATTGTTCATAAAATATTGATAATGAATCCATTGTATTAATTATTGATATATCATTAAGCGAACGAAAAAAAAGTTTCAACAGTTATAAAAAGAGGCATATACATATTTGCAGCTGATTGTACATTAATAGATTAAAACAAATATTTGTGTTAGTTAAAAAGATGAAGTTCAATATTTATAACGTTGGTTGTTGATAAAATTACTTTTCATATCTCTCCTTCAGTCCTTCAGGTTCGAGAGTACGTAACTGATGCATCCAAAATCTCTCTCTCTCTCTCTCTCTCTCTCTCTTTCTCTCTGTTTTCTACCATGGGTTTTCCAATTACAGTTTACTTCTTTTATTTGAAAGGTGATATTTTCTAAAGTATGTCATGGTCTTAAGAGGTGTCTCGTGATTGAGTAGTTACCTCCTAAAGTCTGATGTTGAATTTAGTTTCTGTTTTGCCAGCATCTTGCAGCTTGCAAGTTCCAAAAGTAACATATGAATACTAATTTCCGTTTAACAATTAAAGCCTACATAGATTTTTTATCGCTGCTTTGTTGCTGTGCTAGTGAAACAGTTTTCATTGTTGGCGACATAATAGCACATACAATTGCTTTTTCTGCATTTTTTGTAACACCCGATTTTAGTGGTCAATTGTTTTTTTATTACTTAAGGTGTAATAAGTATATCTTTTATTTTTGGGGTCTGCGATATGTAATAACAGTAGGTGATTGAAACAGTTCTTTAAGGAAAAGTCATTTTAAATTAGACGCCAGTGCAGACAGTAGATGACACATTTGCCTGTGTAATTATAGGTTGCACGTTTAAATACAGCTGTTTCACAAACCACTCCTGTTTACGTACTGGTTCTCAGATATGATCTATATGTTGCATTTCACAGAAACATAACTTGGGAATATTATCCGGATAAATACAAATGAATAGCAGCCAAATTGAATTCTGAGGAAGGCCCAAAGTGAAAGGAAGGGTAATACACAATTTTAGTATAGTTTAAACTCTAGGAACTTCGGATCATATAAATGTAGGAAATATGCCGCACAGTCCTAATGTTTTATTTTTGAAAAAAATTGCAGTACATTTGAACTTTTCATTCGAAAATATATATTTACGACACATAGTTAAGATGGCACATTTTTAACCGTTATTAAGATTGTTTTTCTATAGGAAATTACATTGTCTATAATTACAGAAGTTTAACCCATGAAGGAATTGGTTGACTATTTCCTACATGAAAAACAAAATCCACGGTTTATATTTTATTCAAATATCCTATTTGATACAGTAGTTGTATTTTAGACAAAACACATACGATGTGGATCCTTTTTTTATACATCTAGCTATATTTAGAAAATACTGATTGGTTTCAGAAAATCAGAAAACCACTGCAATAACTTTTGTAGATCTTAGTACAGCGTAAAGTGTGTGTCGATAATTATTACAAAAGAATATAAAAAGGAATATGAAATTTAGGTTATAAATTAACATATGCAATTGTTGCCCTTGTTTCTGCTCTTTGGTCGGGTCATTGTCTCTTTGACACATGCTCCATTTCTATTCCCAATTTTATTGTAATTATATTGTTATTAAGTAATTTTTATAGGATCTAAGATATAAGCAAGCATACCAATAACTATTAACGGAAGACTGTCTGTCTGGTAGTTAAAACCACGCGTCTCTGAATGTTGAACATCACAGAAAAGTGTCTGACCATTGAAAGAGATGTTTGGTGACCATGACAGTATGGAGGTCACGGTATATGTATTATCTGACTGCAGTACTAGTGATGGCTTGTAACCATTTATAAACTGAATATTTCCAATCCTCATTGTAATTTTCGGTGGAGGATTCCCTCCCGTGCTGATACACGTCCACTCGTAGGTAGTACCAGATAATACAGTTCGGGATCCAGTCAACACTGGTTGATTTGGTTCCTCTGTAAGAAGTCAAGGTTACATATTACATTGTCATTTGCAATAACTAGAAAGTATTTTAAAACAAGAACATATGTTTGTTAACTATGTATACACACAAACATACAACGAACACCTGAAATCTGGAATCATCAAGTCATTCAACGTTCTGCTTTGCAACAAAATTTAAAAAAAATAAATAACGTTATGTGAAGTAAAATACAATATTCATAATATATATATATAACAGATGTTATTTCACAATAAGTGTTTGTTTGTATTATTGAATATTTATTAAATGTATGCAGATAAAAGCTGATACCCAGGAAATGTTTCTTATAATTATAATCTCAGTTTGAATAGTTTGTTTTGTGGTGAATGCTATCCTTATCAGTCTGCAGAACAAAATATCGTGAAAACAAATGTTCTAGACAGTTACATAGTGTCTGTATTACCATAAGCTGTATTCAAATATAAAGCTGTAGTTCATTCTGATGAAAGGATATTATAACAACGAGTTTCATATCAACATTGATAGTTTTTCATAATGAAGTTGATTTTATCTTATAATTACACTGTAAACTTTAGTAACTGCTTTGATTATATCAATTTATCATCAGATTTAATTAATCTCTTTGAAATTTGAGTTAAATCTGAAAAAAAATGAGTTCATACTGTATACTTGTAAGAAGATTGTTGCACTCAAATAGCTCTCTAAAACAGTGTTCTCAACCCGACATTCAAACACAGCCAGGTGGTAACTTATATCAGCAGTATAGTTATATGTGTTTCTTGTTATGTTTGATACTGTTGGTGTGTCCAATATATCATCTATCATAGCGTCTTTACGGAACCATTTAACTGTTGGTTCAGGGTTACCACCTATCGATGTACACGTCAATGATCCTTCGTTTCCTTGAAATGTCAAATTCCGCCCAGTGATTATTGGAGTACCAGGAGCTAAAACAAATACAATATGTTAATATGTGTCTGTAATCACAATAGGGGAGATAAGCGCAGTCACCTGTTTTTCGGAAAACCTTTTTAGTATACATATGTTAACCTTTCCAGCATATTTAGGGTACAGGACAATTATTTAAATATACAAAGTCCAGGTGTCTAAAACAAAAACTAGAATTTCAACTTAAGAAATATTGAAATGTCAGTGTTTTATTTGTTAACAGACGGATGAAGTTCCACTCTAATAAATGGCTGAGTGGGGAACAATAATAAATATCAATGAATGAAAGACAATAATGCAAAACTCAGCAATTGAAGTGTTCAGTAAAAGAGAAATACTAATTGGCCATTTCAACTAACAAAATCTTGAATGAATAATAATGAATATATGTACATATATTTTATGTGTTTTTCGATTACTATCTGAATAATGCATACCAAACACTAACTAAATATATTCCTAATAACTATGTCACCAAAGAAGATATAATGGAAACGCGTTTGAAGTTAAAAAGAAACAATGGACCCTGATGATGAATTGTATCGTTTTGACGATCCGACGCTTATCAATTTTGTTTATCATTTAACTATTGTTGTCTTTTAAAATAACATGTCTTAACTTTATTATGCTTATGAGTTTAAATATCTACCTTATCAACCCAAACGATTCAAAAGACACAATAATTTAATAGTAGTTTACAGGTTGTGGATTTAAATCATGAAAAAGTATTAAAACAAAATCGAATGCAATCTCAGTACACTGTACTAGATTTTCCTTTAGCTTAAAGAATTACATTATTTAAATATTTTCCGTAATTAATCAACTAAGGCATGTTCAAACTAAATTATAAGTATTTAAGTAACGTATGATATTAAATTTAAGAGACGAAATGTAATTCGAGACACATCAGTGCTTATAATCATAGTAATATGTATAGGTACAAATAAAATCGCTTGCAATTACAAATAAATCTGCAGTTTTAAATACTTGAAAAAGTAAACAATGAAAAAAAAAAACAACTTTAAAAATAGTATTTACAAATGAAGAAAAAAAATTTTAAAAGGGATTAACAAAGATGACAGTGAATCGAACTTAAATATACGAATATTTATTTTCAACGTTAGCTCTACATCGCATTCATCAGAACCATGCTACCAATTAAACTTACACGAAGATCAATTTTATATATTTAAAGTTGAAAACCCTAGATATCATATGTGTATCATATTTTCAAAATTATGTTATGAACATATCAATATATATGTAACACTCCCGAACGTGTCCATCCCCCAAAACGTGTCTATTCTCCGCAAATGTGTCCGTAATATTCAATATTGCCCACACGTGTTTGATTTCATAACCCCCAAACGTGTCCGATAAATGTCATTCGCCAAAACGTGTCCACTGTTTAACGCCAGAACGTCTAACGTATTTTAGCGCTAATACATGTATGTCTTAAATGACATCAATAATTTTACGGCAATTCTATGATTGGGACACAGTTCATGAAGTAGTCATTTATTATCATTAGTTTGTTCAATGACGGTTGTTAATGATTATCATAATTGCAAATCTATTCTGTAACACATGAATTAACTTTTTACTGAAATGCTCATTGTCCAGTTGCAAGTATTTCATGCTAATGTAGAGCGAAGATACAAATAATGTTAGTACATTTCAATTAATCGTTTACTAAGTGAATTATTTTGTACTAATAAACTCCAATGATGCCTTTTATATCATGCCATTCAGCAGAATTGACTTCCAGTTTTTTCAACTGTTCTGATATTTCGAAAGCTCTTTAAATCGTAAACTGGTTATCAGGTTTTTGAATAAATTTAAGGTTTCGATCTTCAAAATAAAGACAGACGAACAAGAGACATAACGTCCAGTGCCAAATATATCATGCAGTATTTGAACGACATCATGTTGACAATGAATACTGTAGATAGGTATTATTATTATACCGGGAATTTAGGATTGGGTCTAAATTTTTACGGTTATTCGAGATTAACAGTAAATTAGATTTTAATCTAAAATAATTGAGAGCGAGTAAAGACCGATTTTTCAGTAAGAAACTACTCCAATCTCCTTTATGTAATAGAGACCGTTTTAAATAAAAGTTGCGAAAATTAAAAAAAAAAAAAAAATTTTGCCTTCCAAAATACAACTAAAGGCACCATGAAAGAGTGAATTTTTACAAAGGTTTTGATGCGCAGAGAAAGTGACTTTCTCCCTACACCAGGTATCTGATTAAATATATACAATATAACTGAGCATGATTGCTTACTTTTACATCCAAAATAGCCGAACGGACGCCCCCACTTATACTACCGGTTAAAAAAAGACCTAATTTAATTTATTTCTATTTTTTAATGAAATAGTCAAATGAATATACGTAAATGAAAAAGCAATATCCAAATAATTATTCCGATAAAAGAAAATCAAATTAAGCTTGATTTGGACACGTTTAAGAGATTGGGCACGTTTGGCTGTTTATTAAAGAATGACACGCTTTGGCGCCCTTTAACATTAAGACATGTTTTGCAGTTCAGTGACGTCATGGAGACACATTTGGGGGAAAAGACCCGTTTCTGAGTGTTACATATATGTATATAAAAGTCATTTTAATTTCACCCGACTAGTAACCGAAGCATTTCGGCGGTGTGTTTGCTATTAGGCATACATAACAGACAGGAGGAAGGTTTTGATTCTAAGTTAAGACAGAAAGATATTTCATAAAATAAAAGTAAGTTCCTAAATTGATTATATTGCTGAACAGAAATCGGTATATTATTAAATTCATTTTAATCAAATTAAGAACAAAAACGAAACACTAAAATAACACATGGTGAGTATATTTGAGTGACAGAAGTGTTGATTGTAGGATAAGAAACCATAGTAAACAGGCTAGCATTATGGCAATGGTGTTAGGTGATAGAAATGTATAAGCATAAGATGAAATATGCAAAAGTCATGATATTGAGCTTTTGTACAAAACTCTAACCAGATTTAAAAGAAAATAGTTAGTTTTACTATTTAAAAAAGATCAAGTGCATAGATGTGAAAAGTAACTGATCATCTCAATAAATAAAAACACCAGATAGTTAGTCATTAGTACAATATCTATGATTGCAAGTGGTATGAAAGCCTTAAAACAAAGAGTCATGATTGGATAACATGATACAAATGTAACTCCATATGTAAACATTTAGTTATCCCGACCAATGTCTGAGGTATAAGCCGGCAATCCTACTTTCTGTCCCTAGTTTATTCTGGCTACCTATTCTTCTTGTCCCATTTTATTTTGCTATCTGTCTCCTGTACCTTGTCTGTTTTAGCTATTTACCCCCATGACCCTTTGACTCTCCGAGATATCCTTCCCCTGTCCCTAATATCTTTTGATCGTCCACCCCGTCTTCGGTTCTATACAGACAATCACTTTTTGACCCCAGATTATCGCAAATATTGACCATCTTGTCACATGTCTTTCCTTGGCTTTCAATTCCTGTTGTCCTTAGTCGATCTTAGCTATTCAATTATTCTGTCTATATTAGATCATGATTGTACATTACTCATTCCATTTAATGTATAAATTAGCTAGTCATAAAACTCTTCATGCCCTGTCTTTGATCTTTTCTGACTATTCATACCCCTGCCCAGTTTCATTTCTTTCCTAGGTATCCTTGCCATTAGTGTGAATGCAGACACAAAAAAGCAAGTGTAACTATATTTACCATGGTTACTATTTGTTGCTAGATATATAAACAGCATGAATAGAAATAAAAATTACAATAGATATTATTTTTACATTATTTTTAAATGAAAGTTATTCAAAAACTTTGAGGTTAAATTTAAGTAAGTAAAAATGATACTTTCCAATACTCAATAAAGCACATAGGTCTGCGTTTATTCTTTCTGTCATAAAGATTTATATAACAACATACTTCACGATGAAACCGATCATTAATCATATAATGATAATTGTAATTAGAGAAAATTTAGAGCTATATACAAATTTTTTGTCCGTTATAATGATTCTTAGGTTACAGGGATTCAATGGCATCTAGTGAGATAGATTATAAAATACGTTTGTATTTATGAGCTTTTGTTTTCAAACGAAAATCTATGGCATGCGTGAGGATTTCAACTATCCATTTGTCAACTTCTTATTTCTCAGCAGTTTTATGTCATCTGGTTTACACATCTCAGTTCATATGTTACGCCTCTGCATGTTCACTATTATACAGGCTTCGTTGATAGGGTTGTGCTCATCACACAAAAAAAAACTTCAACAGAGTTACGATCAGTTACGAGGAAGAACGACTGAAATCGTCAAAACATATATCAAAAGGTGATCATCACGAATTCATTTATGAAACCTCAATAAATACATGAATTTACAGTTCTATGTCTGATATGTATCAGTATAGTCGTCTGATCTGTAATTTTATCGAATTTATTCTTTTCCCGATTTTGATATTGGGACAAATTTGCATTAACGCGCATAACATGAAACGCTTACCCTGTGTACGCACATAGTCTCGTTCCTTTTGAAGGTCATGCGATTCCTTCTGTTTGTTTTTGCTTCATTAATTTGTTTCCTCATATTTGATATACAAGATTTCAACATCGTTACAACACCGTCGCCTTGTTTTTTGTTTATATTTGATTGACACTTACATTGACCAAAAGACAGTGTGGTTAGTGATAAAATCAACAGTATAAGTGGAACAGATCGTTTACTGGTCTTCGGACGTTCCATCCTTTCTGGTCAAATGGTTACAACCACCTTGTTTTGAGTAATGTTCTCGTATGAATACTGTAAACTGAAAAGAGTAAAAATATTGCACGAAGAGTAAGATATTTAAAAACGATAAAAAGAACAAACTGTTAAAAACGTATTTGAACATCAAAAATGAATAACACTGCTAAATTTGTAGGCCAATATTTTCAGCCGGTTTTTCTTGAGCCGACGATCGTCTATTATAAAAATATAAATAGTTAGTGTATGTAATATACATTATAACTTCATAAAGTAATTGTTTTAATTAGCCTCGCCTTATTAATAAAACCCGAAATAAAGTTACGTAGCTGGTTCCTTACCGTCTACGTTTTGTAAAAAGGCGGAACTGGTTTTGTATTCAACTTTCTTGATTTTCTGACTTCTCGCACCACTCAAACACTCTCATTAATTTTTACAACTTGCATCATTTTATCAAACTCGCACCACTTAATAAAAACCCAGAAATATAGCAAACTCGCAGTAATGTGTTTAATCATTAGTTTGTTTTCTTCTTTTCTCAATAAATCCATACTGTCTCGGAGCTCCCGTGTAACACAGAGACAAGACAGAACTCGCACCAATTGAAAAAAAAATTATACTACAAACTCGCACCACTGAAAAAATTTTTAAATCATCAGAGATTTCTTCTCTTAGTTATTTCTTCCGTTCTTGGAGCATCGGTATCACACAGAGACAGAACATCATCGGTGTTCTATGATGTCTTCTTTTATTCTGTGTTATTCTCTCCGTTCTAGGAGCACCAGTGTTACACCAAACCCGAAGCTACTAATTGGACATTCAAACTCCTATGGAAGAAGAACTGGCAAACTAATAAAAACTATCAACATAATGAATCAGTGCATACAAACAATCTGAGAAACATGAACCCAAGCTGTGTATCACCATAAACATTTCAAGTAGACTTTATGTCGCGTTAGCGTGGGTTTTTTTTTGCTAGAGATTTTAAAAGCAGATAATATGGCAGCCCCAATTATAGCTAAAATTGAATGAATTTACTTACAACGCCACAACATAGAAATTGAAAACAAATAGCAGATGGTACACAACTTTTTATAGAACCTAAAAATCAATCGTAGGTACGTTGAAAGTTTTAGAAATACATTAAAAATATCGGAAACTAAAATACATTATGTAAAACTTGAAGGGTTATATTTAGTTCGTTTTGAAAATAAAACTTCAAAATTTAAATTATTTGATGATGAAATTGAAATGCGAGGATTACCTGATTAAATATAAAGACGGAATAAACAACATTATGTCAAAAGTCATATGGGAAGGAAAAGTTAGATTGGTTAAGAGGGACGATGATTGCTTACACTCAGAGAAAAGGTATGATCAGCATAAAATCGGCGGTTGAATCTTAACAAATCAAAAGCATACAAGCGATTTCAAGATTGGATAGCAGATTAAACAATAACTGGAAATCGTACGCCAAATGGTAGTAACATAAATGTGGTTGCTAAAATACATAGCACAATGTCCCGATTTGTTAGGATCGCAAACGTCCAATTTTCCAAAGTTCTATCTCAATTCACTTATAACAGGGTCTACATTCTTTAAGGATTCAAAGTCCATGAAAAGAGTATATATTAAAGCATTAAATATTGGAAACAAAATGTTCAATATAACAAAAAACCTATTCTCTTCGATAATTTGGGGACAAAATGTATGCAAAACTTGTTTTCATTGAGCGAAAACAGTTTTAAATGGGCAAATGTAACAACAGTAATTATTAAAATTTTGTTCTTAACATATTTGTGATGCTTTTAAAATGTATAATGTCCATAATCATACATACAGCAAGAAAACAATTTCTGTGACACAATTTTTTTATTGTTATTTTTTTAAGCATATAATAAAATATATCTACTCATATCTTATTACAAGGGGGCGGAAGAGCGATTTCAAATTATATCTCATAGATTTCTTTGAAAATCTTTGTTTTTCGTGACTATTCGATACAATTTTACCAAACTTTTAGGTAGAAAAATGGCTAGGTGACCAAAACTGTGTTGTTATGTTTTTGAAAAAAGCATGCTAAAAACTACATTTTGGCCAACTATAAAAATATTAGTTCCCAGGAAATATATACAAATGATTCACCTTAAGTCTCTGTAAATCAGAAAATAGAGGCGAAAGAGATCGAAGGAACATTCAAACTCATAAGTCGAAATTTAGCAGATAAATCTATGGCAAAACAAAACATAAAAAAGACCAACAAATACACATAACAGTACCCAAACCACAACGAAGAAAACTAAATCTAAGGTTGATTTCAATGGCTTCGAGAGGTTAGGCAGATCATGCTTCACAAGTGACAGCAGTTGTGATGCTCATGTTAGTACAGTTCTAATTCGGTAGGTCATATTCGTAGAAAAGGAAACTGGATTGTAATAACGACATTTGGAACGTGCCCGCGGTCATCTGTGAAACGGATATGCCACAATGATCAAGCAACTCGTGATGGGGTCCACAAATATACGAAAGGGTGATTTTAACTTTACCATTTGGAACTCTTGGTTTTATAGCTTCAATGTCAGCAGTAACCCTCTATAAAGAAAGTGATGATAGACAATGCTTTCCTTGGAATATCGTATCAACTGGGTTAATAAAAAGTTTTATATACATATTGAAAAAGGTAATTGTTATTTCCTTTTATTACAAAACTTTAAACAAATTTTATTTTTATACCAGTTGAATACGTAATATGAATATGTCTTTTGGATTTTCTTTTGAATTATTTCCAATGGGTAAAAAACTACTGATAAAAAGCAGACCGGAATCAGAAAGTTAAAAATTTTACGTTGTGTGTGTTCGAAAACCATACTGAACATTTTCTATTTTGTTACCCATTACTTTTATTATTCGAAACCAATCTTTTTTAAATCTAAAATGTGTACAACTTTTTTAAATTGCATTTAATATGATATAACTGTTGTCAAAATTGTTGACACAATGGTTAAACCAATAGTCAAAGATTCAGATATGATATACATTTATAATAAATATTGATTTCGTTATCAGTAAAATTAAAATCAAACTTAATTTTTCTTTTTATTTGCATATGGCTCTACTTGCATTGTCAGAAGAAAACGGTGATTTAAACTTGATTCTATAGCTAGCAAAATCTCTCAAATGTATGACAGTTGTCTATTGTTCCGTTATATTGACAAAATTGGGTAAGCAACTCAAAAATACATACTATTTTAATGTGACACTTATAAGAATACAGCAGCCAAAACTGTGTAAACATACATAAAAAAGGCCGTACTTTGACCTATAAAGGTTTACTTTTATAAATTTTGACTTGGATGGAGAGTTGTCTCATTGGCACTCATACCACATCTTCTTATATCTATCCCAAAGACAGCATGTCTCCTTGAAAATATCAGCAAACATGTAGATAAATCTAATAAACGACAACAACAAAAAATGTTGTAGTAGATTATAAATTTGACAATGACGACATCAAACATATTTTAATGAACAAAATGAACATAGGATCAGTCGTTGATTTGCTAAAATCAAACAAAATTCTAGTTAATGAGTCTAATTATTAAGAACGCTCATAATTATTAGACCGACAGATCTGACAATAAACGATAATGTTGTAGTTCTATGCGACTGTCATTCAAGTGAGAGGTTTATGTACCTTTAAAACCAGAATGATTGCTCCAACATTGTCTTTATAAGGAAATGCCTTTACCAAATCAGGAATATAACAATTGTTTTTCATTAGTTTGGTGTTTGAGCTTTCGAGTTTGACATTTGATAAGGGATTTTCCGTTGAATTTTCATTGAGCTTCGGTATATTTTTTTTATTTTACTTTTATTTTCCATTTACATTATCAATCATATTATGGGTGATGACAGGTCTGTGTAATCATCATCAACTAAAGGGGGTAATTCCTATTAAACAATTTAATCGTTGAATATAATGCTCTTCCTTGTTTATTATTTTAGAATATTCTTTTAGATCACTTTTCTTTTAATCTTCAAACTGTTTTCTCAAATCTTTTCTATCACAATTTTAAAATTTGGTCATTACGTTTTAATAATATTTGTTCTGCTGCGTTTGGCTGTGTTTACGATTCATTTCATCCGACTCTATTTTATTGATATTATTTTCTGTGATTTCTAATGTTTTTATTTAGTTCATGTAAAATCATACTTAGTGAGGAACCACACTGTTAAAACTAATCAGGGCAATTCATAAACATTTTTTATAATAATATCTTAACCTGGATATTCACATCGTCCAAATGACCAATTGCCCAACTCCTGAAAACGTGTCAAAGAACCCTCTCTGTTTAGTAAGTTTTCATGTTTCTAGCGTTACTTTATCTTACTTGCTAAGGAAATAGGCAATGTTAATCACAGTATTTTTGTGATTTTGCTTTCTAATTATGATAACAGAAAATTAATCAAGCGTACTTAGTTTTCAATTGCAATACGCTTTTTAAAATAAAAAGTTATCTGGAAAATCATATTTTTAGAAAACCATGTTTAAATTCAGGTTAAGTTACATAACTTCACGGCAATTTAAACAGCAGTTATAATTATAGTTTGTTCATGTGAAGAATAATATTCCTACACGTCTATTCTATTTAATGTTACAAGGTCATTGTTGCTTTCGTCGTCATCCCAACCATTTACATATTTTAAATCGTTATACCAGTTTTAAAAATACATAATACAAATACGGCTTTTGAATGTTTCTTCTCAATTATTTTGCGTGGATCACTTAACTGGATTAATTTAAAATCAAGTCCAAGGATATCACACTTTAAAACTTGTACGTAATATGCCTTATTAAAACCCTATTACTTATTTTGAGTATGCTAACAAATAACTGTTTTTATTCGAAAACCATTTTTGGGGGAAATCTATATGTGTGTTAATTATCTAAATTGCTTTTAATCGGATATAATCGTTGTTGAAAAACGGTAAACAGATATTACAAAACATAATAAATGCAATTACGAAAAAGTACAAGTGATGTTATACAAAGAATACAAAGAAACTAATAAGAAAGACAATAAATAAAAGAAAGCATACAAGCTAAAAAAACAAACAAAAGTATGCCTTTAGAAGTGTCCAGTAAATGTCAGATTCATTATTGTTAACCCCGTGAACAAACCCTATCATTTAAAGTTTTCATCTATTTACAAAAATGGTTGATTTGACATTTTTAATACAGTAATTAAATGACTAAACGTCAACACATTACAATGGTTTGCTATCAATATAAGTTCTCCTATGAGTATTATTGAGAAATGCAAGATATTGTATTAGTTATATTTAGTAAACGTTTTTAAGAAAAATCAATGTTTCTTATTTTAAATGCTGTTTTAAGAGTATATTTTATATCTTGAAATACAATGACTCGTATGTTCACCGTGTTAAGCTGCCTTTTACCAAACGCCCAGTATCAATATTACGGCTATACATTATATTCATCGAAATCCGTGAAAACCATGATTCTACCAAAACACATATTTGTAGAGATCGTTTTTGTTTTCAATTCAGAAAAGCTATTTTTAATTCAAATTAAGTTTTTTAATGCTAAAATTTTCATAGAATTTTCAAAACAGTTTAAATTTATTTTTTTGCGCAATACTCTAAGATAGTTTTCCATGAATTTGGTTACACAATCATTTTAATAAATTTGATAACATTGCAATATCCGCCATGTTTTTTTTACAGTTCGATGGTGTTTGAAAGAGACAGTAACCAATAGCAAAATTTTTGGTATATTTAGAGATATTTCTGATTTTAAAATTTCCCACTACAGTATTTAACTTCCAGTCAAAGACCCCTGCAAACGACTATATATTCTTTTACATGTCGTTAATTATTGTGTTATAACTTGTCATAACCTTTACGATATAATCAGAAATCAATATATATTTTATAGTAATTGCAATAAACATTTGCATGGGGTAAATATGATTATACTGTATAACAAACCTTAGTACTTTGGATACTAGACTCCGACGACCTTTTTCTCCATGATTGTATCATACAAAATATATAACGACGGATCAATTGGTAGAGGTGTATTATCAATGGCAAGACTTGCTTCCAATCAAACAAAATTTAAATGTCCAATTGTCGATACTGTTGCATGGAGACACAACTTAAATTAAAATTTAAACAGTCAATGGAAACAAGAATATCATTTTTTTTAATCAAAAAACTTTTTACATTCAGAAATAAATAAATGAATAAACAAGTTAATTGTTCGTGAATAATTGAGAGGTCTTCCTTTTTATAATGTAAAATATATGTTTAAATAGACGTAGAATGCATTGAAAACCCTTAAAATATGTCAAAAACACATAATTCGCTATTTGGGACATGTGCCTGACCAGACAACTTTTGTCAAGGTCATTGGTCCTCGTTGTCATTAAAAGACCCCATGGTTTAGAGTTAAAGCTAATTTTGTCGTTTCGCTCACCGTTAACGAGGGTTATGTCCCTTACGGATAGATCAAATCTCTTCGGTTGCAATGTAACAAATGACCAAACATTTCTCATTATTCAAGACTTCTTTTTTGTATAATGGTTTCTGAAATTATCCCATAATTAGGTGTAGGCTCAAAGGTCAAGGTCAATGTAAATCATTTGACCTTGAGGGATTTTCATGGTCACATAAACTGATAATAATTGGTGACGACCCTAGGTGGCTACGACGTACGGTTTTTGAGTTTTAGTGGCCAACCGATATCGGTTAATTTTCAAAGGGGCATAACCCTACGAATGAGTCTTTGATTACTTTCAAATGTAACAAAGAACCAGGGTATGGTCCTGAACAAGTCCCACCCTTCGGTTTTCCCTACCTATTACGGTTACGGCGTTCATTTCATAACAAGGTTTTTAGGTTTATGGCCAGATAACTCCGGACAGATAAAATGTTACGACTCACAGGGTGAGCTCTCGATAGATAATTGTGACACCAATACAAAGTGTGAACCTGAAATCGACACGTCTTACGGTTACGGTTGGAAATCTTGTCAAAAATTTGCGGAACAAAAAGAATAATAACCAGAAAAATACAGTAAGGTCTTTCCCTTTTGGAACAGGAGAGACCTTAAAAATTACTATGAACACTTTTTCTTTGCTAATTCTTTGCTTTTGCAAAATCAAAAACAATTATATACATAGTATTTATATTTTGATGAAATGGGTAAAGTGTTCATATACTCGATCATTTTTTGTTCAATCCCACACCACTGTTGATACTTGAACGATAAATCAGAGAGAATTCCCCCACCTTATAGCTGAAATAAAAAGACATCAGACATTTATTCATTAAATAACCATGATAATGCATTTTGAGTTTATAGCAAACACGGAGGATGCAAAAGACCTAAAGTTTTCATTTTGGGTAGTCTAGCTATGTTTCTGTAAAAATTATTCAAAATTCATGGATAATGGAAATAAAATGTGTGCAAATGTTGTGCATAGTATGTTGATATGTTGATATGCATATTATTTTTATTTAAACTGGACACTTCATTTTGTGAAAAACATATTTGAGAAAATACCTTTGGTAGCTGCAAAATCGGCCAAAAAATGTCTTATAAATGTCAGAGTTGTGCTTACATATGTAAATAAAGGCAATAGTAGTATACCGCTGTTCAAAAGTCATAAATCGATTAAGAGAAAACAAGTCCAGGTTACAAACTAAAACCGAGGGAAACGCATCAACTATAAGAAGAAACCAACGAAACAACAGAAACACTGAACTGCAACAAAAACAAACGCCAACATACATAGAAACGGACTATTTGATAACAGCTGCCATATTCCTGACATGGTACAGGACATTCTAAGAAATAATGGTGGGTTGAACCCGGTTTTATGACTAGCCAAACCTCCCGTTTATATTATCTATTTTTCTCAGGGACGTACACATAGCGTTCACTTACACACAAAATGAACAATAGATAATATTCTTTGATAATTTATGCTTTGCAAATGGCTCAAAACAAAGTTGAATATTTGGAAACATACAAGATATACAATTTTTTGTGTCACAGGTCACAATGCATAGCACCTGAATCAGCTTGTAAAACACCATTTTATAAGATGTATCTGTGTTTGAATAGTACTGCCGTAGTTGTAATTTTTCTTCTTCTTTGATTCAAACAACTATGGGTAATCTTTTTAAAATCACAAAAGTTCAGTGGAAAATAGTTCATGCTGAAAACGACACAATTCATTCAAACAAATTCGTTGATACAAAGTCCCCGGAAATCAATAATATTTTACATGCATGTTTAGAATTCTATAAATTATCCCTTCTACATCGGTCTGCGAAACAAATTTATCGTTCAAGCTTAGTAAACGTAAAATCAACAAATTTCCATCGACCTGAAAAGCTATGTTTAATTAGATTCAAAAATCCTAGTGTCGTCTTGTTCCTCCATGTTTCTATCAACAGAGTCACTTCACCAGTATGGGAATTCCCTGTCAGGAGGAAAAAAATCTATGGAACACAATGAGTGTTATAAAAAGGTTTTTCAGTATTTTATCGATACATTATCAAATTGAGTTCATCAAATCATATTGAAAAAAGTAAAATAACAAATATACCGAACTCATAGGAAAATTCAAATCGGAAAGTCCCTTATCAAATGGCAAAATCAAAAGCTCAAACACATCAAACGAATGGAAAACAACTGTCATATTTCTGACTTTGTACATGCATTTCCTTATGTAGAAAATGGTGGATTAAACCTGATTTTATAGCTAGTTAAACATCTCACTTGTTTGACAGTCGCATAAAATTTCATTATATTGACAACAATGTATGAACAAAACAAACAGACAAATTCGGTAAAAATGTCAAAATTGAAATGATCTAATGAACACAGTTTATAAAAATAAAGTTCAAGATACGTAGAGTACTGAAATTATCAAAGATCAAGCATTTAAAAATATATATTATACTTTATATTTACTTGATTTTTTACACATTGTTTTTTTGGTGTATCGCAACACTGTAAGTGTTATTTATATATTTAACATGTTCGACATAAACAACACAATATACGTCATATTCTCCTACAAAGCTGACAAATGCCTATATCGATGTTACTGACAACACAGACATTGAGAGACCGTGTATTTGAAAACATCTCAAAAGACAAAGTGAATGCTTCATAACTACCGCTGTTTGACTGTGAACATTAAGCAAGACTAGTTCAGCACATTAAAGACCAGGGTGCCATAAGCTATGCCTATACCCAAGTTAAGTGGTGGGTCTTGGAACTGAGTATTATTTTTATATGGGCATGAAGACAAATATGACAAGCAGCTTTGTTTTTAGATAGTCTACAGATGTATGGTTAGATTGCCCAGAACTGAAGGTATGGAGACAAAAAACTGTATCAGCACATAGAGCAAAAGCATCTTCAAGTTGTGTTTGTGCACTGTTTGTCGTTTCGTTGTTTTTCGTATTTTCCAGTCAAAACGCGTGTCTGGCGTAATTTTTTGTTATCCTGGTGTCTATGATGAGTTTATTTACACAGAAAGATGATTGTGATGATGGTGACCCATGGTGTTTCGTTTACAACAAGTGACAGCCAAGGGAGTTACAAGAACGCATCTCCATCATAATAACACAATTGACCTATTGTCACTTTGAAGAATGAACTCATCTTAACTATTGCTGTGATGTCTTTGTAGGTCTGATATATTTTACTGTAGGTGTCATGAGTAACCTTGCTATGAAATTAAGATTAATGATAGTAATAAACAAGTCGGTGTCATGAGTTACCCTGCTAACAAATTATGATTTGTAATAAATAAAGGCAACAGTAGTATACCGCTGTTCGAAACTCATAAATCGATAGAGATAAAAACAAACCCGGGTTACAAACTAAAACTGAGGGAAACGCATCAAATATAAGAGGAGAACAACGACACAACAAAAACACAACATTAAAATGTAACACACACAGAAACGAACTATAATATAACAATGGCCATTTTCCTGACTTGGTACAGGACATTTTAAGAAAAAAATGGTGGGTTGAACCTGGTTTTGTGGCATGCCAAACCTCCCGCTTTTATGGCAATGTTAGATATAACATTAAAATGACAACATTACTTGACATGACTACAATCCAAATAAATGGGAGAACATATAGGACAAAGAAACACACGAATAATAGCTAACAAAAGGTACTAGGTTTAGAATTTAATACGTCAGACGTGCGTCTCGTCCACACAAGACTAACCAGTGACGCTCAGATGAAAAAAGTTTGAAAGCCAAAACAAGTACAAAGCTGAAGAGCACCGAGGACCAAAACTTCCAAAAAGTTGCACCTAACACGGCCAGGATTTTCTGCCTAATAAACAAGTCGGTTTCATGAGTTGTCCTGCTAGAAAATTAAGATTAATGGCAGTAATAAACATTTGTTAGTGGTTTGATCGTTTCCATTTCTTTAACTTAACATATGTTTGACATTGTCAGTTCTTGATTTAAAATTGAATTATTTTTATAAATATAAAAATTATCTTGTATATAAAGTTATCATGATTCTCGAAGACAAGTTCGAATGAATTGCGTCTATAAGCATATTGTTTTATATATTTGTGAAAAGTTAAAAATTTATTCATTTTTTATGTGATCAAATCTTTTTTTCTTGCTTTTGTAAAAGCTTTTCAGTCACTAAAAATAAATAACAGTTCTTGCCATTTAAACTTTTGTAATAAGTTATAATGACCTGAACATTTTCAAAATATACTTACATTGAATTACAATGTCATGCTCACAACTGGGTTTTTACAGTATGTATTATCTTGCGTTATTTTCCACGAACAAAATGGTGACGTATTCATTGCCGCTTTGTAGAAATGTAGGTCATAACAAAGAGTCTATGAAGCGAAAAAATCAAACAAAATTGTATTATTTTAATGAAGTTTTAGGATAATATTGCCGACATTTAAAAACAAATTATGGTTTTACCAACTTCCAGTGGAAGAATCCATGAATGTATGTGATACTTCCTAATAATATTGCAACGTTTGGGCAACA